TAAGGATTCCCTTTTAATTTTTATTACAGAAAATTTTTGTACATAAAGTGTGGAATTAATACAAGGCATTGAAGAACTTTCTCCAAAGAAGAAACTTTGAAGCTTCAAGAAGAAAAGACAGTCTGTAACTCTAGCACATGCGGCAAAGACAAGGGCAACATTTGTACTGACACCTACCTTACCACCAATGCAGTCCTAAACAGGAAGGCTTTGAAGGAACATTCCATCTCCGACTAGAAGTAGAGACAATATCGGATTTTTATTTCATTTTGACAGACTATAAATTGGGTTTTGGAAATCTCAACACCGATCTCTGGATGGGTAATGAGTTCATCCACAGATTGACTTTGACATTTTTATTGAAACTTGGAAGATTTAAGAAGAAAAGACAGTATGTAACTCTAGCACATGCGGCAAAGACAAGGGCAACATTTGTACCGGCGCCTACCTTACCACCAGCTACCAATGCAGTTCTAAACAGGAAGGCTATGAAGGAACATTCCATCTCCGACTAGAAGTAGAGACAATATCAGATTTTCATTTCATATGGACAGATTATAAATCGGGTTTTGAAAATCTCAACACCGATTTCTGGATAGGAAATGAATTAATTCACAAACTGATATTAACAGGGAAATTCCATCTCTGACTAGAGGTAGAGACAATATGGGGAGATTTTTATACCGCAACATACGATTCTTTTCTAGTATTTGCTGAGAATTCCAAATACAGAAATGTTCATTTCACATGGATAGACTATAAATGGGGATTTGGAAATTTAAATAGGGATTTCTGGATGGTTAATGTATTCATCCAGAGATTGACTTTGACAGCAAAATTCTATCTCCGAGTGGAGGTGCAGATGATATCTAGAGATTTATATATCGCAACATACGATTCTTTGATATTTGATGACAATTCCAATTACAGAATGTTAAATAGAAATTCCAATAAACAGGAAAGCCCCAATCTATGCTGATTAAAGATTCTCTATTAATTTTTATTACAGAAAAAAAACTTATATAAAGTTTGGAAATATATCAAGGCATTGAAAAGCTTTTTACTAAGTAGAAACTTGGAAGTTTTAAGAAGAAAAGACAAAAGAAAAGTCTGTAACTATAGCATAGTAACTGTAACTTCATAGAGATTCAACTAAACAAGCAATTATAAGTCATTTTTTGGTAAGTATGTGTACTGGCATTGTGCCAAATTACTTACTTTTCTAGACTATTATAAAAAGCCACAAATGCTTGTCATTTCGGTTTTTATATATTAAAAGATTGATATTTAACTTACTAATGCCCTAGGTCTCTTGAGCGAGCAATTGTGGCTATCAGAGATATTCGCATTTTACTGAACCTATATTTTGTGTCGGACTTGCGCAAAATCCGGTGATCGTCGTTGAACTTGGAAGTAGACCTAGGCCAAAAGCCTGTCGTCATACTTGTGTTTGTATTGAGTTATCCTCCTAACTGCATGTTGAGCCTGGCGGCATACATTTTTATTGTTAAAAAGTCAATAATTTAATTATTTTATTATTATTAGTATTAAGCCCAGGCCCTTATCTTAGTTGGGCTGCCCAAGTAAGGTTGTTTCATTTGTCACCTGTATTCCTTTTTATCTTTTTGTTGTGATAGCAATTTAGTGATGATGCATAGTTAGCAAATTGAGCCCAATCAACCTCAATAAGTTTTTAGCTTATATAAATCACCTACGACTAAAACTGGTTATTTTTGTCTATTTCAGGTTAAAGTCAGAAAATGAAGACTAGTGAATTTTCAAAGGAAGCTGAAGGACTTTTAGATTGGAAATGAGTTCATTCATAGATTGACATCGACAGCAAAGACATATGATGGATCTTTTTGGCGATGAAGTACTGCGACCCCCATACTGAAAAGAATGGTTTCTATACGACTGTGACCTATGTCGATGGATGAAATTCAATACCATGTATTGCAGGTACTGGAGCATTTCCTGCCATTGTTGAATGGAAACACTTCTAGAGATTGTTTCATGCGGTAAGATAAAGTCTATTCTATCTCCAATTGGAGGTGCAGATGATATCTGGAGATTTATATACTGCAACATATGATTCTTTTTAACTTTCTGATGAGAATTTCAATTACAGAATGTTAAATAGGGATTCCAATACATGGCAAAGCCAATAAGTGCTGATTAAGGATTCCCTTTTAATTTTTATTACAGAAAATTTTTGTACATAAAGTGTGGAATTAATACAAGGCATTGAAGAACTTTCTCCAAAGCAGAAACTCGGAAGTTTTAAGAAGAAAAGACAGTCTGTAACTCTAGCACATGCGGCAAAGACAAGGGCAACATTTGTACCGACGCCTACCTTACCACCAGCTACCAATGCAGTCCTAAACAGGAAGGCTATGAAGGAACATTCCATCTCCGACTAGAAGTAGAGACAATATTGGATTTTTATTTCATATGGACAGACTATAAATCGGGTTTTGGAAATCTCAACACCGATTTCTGGATGGGTAATGAGTTCATCCACAGATTGACTTTGACATTTTTATTGAAACTTGGAAGTTTTAAGAAGAAAAGACAGTCTGTAACTCTAGCACATGCGGCAAAGACAAGGGCAACATTGGTGCCGGCGCCTTACCACCAGCTACCAATGCAGTCCTAAACAGGAGGCTATGAAGGAACATTCCATCTCCGACTAGAAGTACAGACAATATCAGATTTCTATTTCATATGGACAGATTATAGATCGGGTTTTGAAAATCTCAACACCGATTTCTGGATAGGAAATGAATTCATTCACAAACTGATATTAACAGGGAAATTTCATCTCTGACTAGAGGTTGAGACAATATCGGCAGATTTTTATACCGCAAAACATACGATTCTTTTCAAGTATTTGCTGAGAATTCCAATTATAGAAACGTGCATTTCACATGGACAGACTATAAATCGGGTTTTGGAAATCTCAACACGGACTTGTGGATGGGAAATGAGTTCATCCATAGATTGACTTTGACAGCAAAATTCTATCTCCGAGTAAGGTGCACATGATATCTAAAGATTTATATACCACAACATACGATTCTTTTCAAGTATTTGATGACAATTCCACAGAAAAGTTTTGTATATAAAGTGTGGAATTAATACAAGGCATTGATGAGTTTTTTCCAAAGCAGAAACTTGAAAGTTTCAAGAAGAAAAGACAGTCTGTAACTCTAGCACATGCGGCAAAGACAAGGGCAACATTTGTACCGGCGCCTACCTTACCACCAGCTACCAATGCAGTCCTAAACAGGAAGGCTAGGAAGGAACATTCCATCTCCGACTAGAAGCACAGACAATATCGAGTTTTTATACCGCAACATACGATTCTTTTCAAGTATTTGCTGAGAATTCCAATTATAGAAATGTGCATTTCACATGGACAGACTATAAATCGGGTTTTGGAAATCTCAACACAGACTTCTGGATGGGAAATGAATTTATTCACAAACTGACATTAACAGGGAAATTCCATCTCTGACTAGATGTTGAGACAATATCGGGAGATTTTTATACCGCAACATACGATTCTTTTTAAGTATTTGCTGAGAATTCCAATTACAGAAATGTGCATTTCACATGGACAGAATATAAACTAGGTTTTGGAAATCTAAACACCGATTTCTGGATGGAAATGAGTTCATCCATAGATTGACTTTGACAGCAAAATTCTATCTCCGAGTGAAGGTGCACATGATATCTAGAGATTTATATACCACAACATACGATTCTTTTCAAGTATTTGATGACAATTCCGATTACAGAATGTTAGAGATTCCAATAAATAGGAAAGCCCCTATGTATGCCGAATAAAGATTCTTTATTAATTTTTATTACAGAAAAAACTTATATAAAGTGTGGAAATATATCAAGGCATTGAAAAGCTTTCACTAAGTAGAAACTCGGAAGTTTCAAGAAGAAAAATACAAGTCTGTAACTATAGCATAGTAACTGTAACTTCATAGAGATTCAACTAAACAAGCAATTATAAGTCATTATTTGGTAAGTATGTGTACTGGCATTGTGCCAAATTACTTAATTTTCTAGACTATTATAAAAAGCCACAAATGCGTGTCATTCAGGTTTTTATATATTAAAAGATTGATATTTAATTTACAAATGCCTTAGCTCCCTTGAGCGAGCAATTGTGGCTATCAGAGATATTCGCCCATTACTAAACCTATATTTTGCGTGGGACTTGTGCAAAAACTGGTGATCGTCGTTAAACCCGGAAGTAGACCTAGGCCCAAAGCCTGTCGTCATACTCCTGTTTGTATTGAGTTATCCTCCTAACTGCATGTTGAGCCTGTCGGCATACATTTTTATTGTTAAAAAGTCAATCATTTAATTATTTTATTATTATTATTAAGCCCAGGCCCTTATCTTAGTTGGGCTGCCCAAGTAAGGTTTTTTCATTTGTCACCTGTATTCCTTTTGATCTTTTTTGTTGTGCAATTTAGTGATGATGCATAGTTAGCAAATTGAGCCAAATCAACCTCAATCATTTTTAGCTTATATAAATCACCTACGAGTAAAACTGTTTTTTTTGTCTATTTTAGACTAGTCTTCAGAAAATGAAGACTAGTGAATTTTCTAAGGAAGCTGAAAATGGACAGAGGTGAAAAAGTGAGAGGTTGACTTTACAGCTCATCAATTTTACTCCATAGTGCACAACTTTCTTGTCTCCTTCTCAATCAAAATAAGATTAGATGTAATTTATAAAAGTGTAATGATTTTTCAACCTTTATGTTTTATCACTTCCACTGCAAAGTTATGTTTTCTTGCCTGATCCAAATTGAATTAGTTCTTTTCATTCTGATTTGCTTTTCTTTTATATTTTTGTTTATTTAATCCACTTGTGAAACCAGTGCTACATCACTGAAAGTGCTTTAAATAAAAGTGGTTTAGATAATATAATTTATAATTGGATTGCTATTGCAATTAGATACAATGTAATGGTAATTAGATAAAATGTACAGGTAATTTTATTTTTAAAAACCAAACAGGCAACATCCAATGAATATTGTAGAAGAACGTTCTTTTTATATTGTTAATGTATTAAATTGTAACTCTTTTCCTCGCATTTCATTGATGTTTGGTGTTCTAAAAGAAGTGTTTTGTGGAGATGGGCATAAAAATAGGACAAAGGATCAACGTATAATTTTGATTTAACAAGGGCTGCACTTAATTTTCTTTTATGGTGTACTGCGAGCATTTATTTTTTTTCCTGTTAATTGCTACATCATAAATTCAATACGTAAGAGTACAGGAGAGGAGTACAATACTACAGTAACATAAACCACCAACTCCCTGCAAAAAAAAACACCATTCAACATATACTGTACTATCACAAGTATGTTTAACAGTGAAAAGACAATTCTGTTATTAACATGGAATTAAAGTTAACAGACTTTCATGTTGAACGCAGGATTCTACTAATGCTTCAAACCATGCTAGGCCTTTGTTTCAGCAAATGTTCCCCCAACTCTAAAATAGCCAAAGAATAGTTGTGCTAGAACAAAAACATTGCATATTGTTCAATCGCAGGCAGATATGAGTAGACAACAAGGCTATGCTTTCAGATTTTGAATTCAGACATCAAAGATCAAATTTAGACCCAATAATCTAAGAATGCAAGTTAGAACTGGAACTTAAATTAACTAAGATTGAAAAAAAACACAATAAAAAGCCTTTGGAACAACAGACACAGCTCAGAGTGATAGAAGAAACGTCAAGCTGTGATGAAAATTAGTGAGCCCTCTATAGTGTAATTTTGAATGTTACAACTGATTGCGGAAGAACACGAGGAACACAAGATGTGAAGGTGGATATGAATAAAGACACAGAATGTTTAAGCAGTCAACTGTGAATCATTTACTTTATTACAGTAACAACTCGCAAGTAAAAACAACTTTGAAAAGCCACAGAACACACCTGCAAACATGCTGGCCTTATATGCAGAAGACAAAGGCACATCAGTAGACTACAGTATTTTCCAGCACAGCAGGTTTTCAACAAGTACCGGTATCTAGATATTTTGCAGACAAAAAGTGTATATTACCATGTTTTAAAATAACTTAAAAAGCCCTAATAAAACAATTGCCTTCCATTACATAGGCCTATAGTAATGTTATTTTCAGACTTGTATTTGTATGGTGTAATAATCTGATGAATAATAAACAAAATAAAAATGAGAATAATTATTAACAAATGAAATAAATATATATATATATGACAATATGTAGTTTAAAATTCACAAACATAAAACATCAAAAGACAAAAATCATAGTTGTCAACTGAAGTTATAAAGAATATAATGTGCATTGCTTTACACCCAACAAAGATTTTTATAAAAAAAATTCAAAGTTTCCTAAATTTTTTTTAGATTTTAAATTTCTTTCTCACAAAAATGAAAAATATGATACAAACAAAAAAACATATGCTTTTACTTGGGAATTCTAACACTCATTATCATTTATAATGAAATTTCTATGGCTTAATCATGGCAGGGTAATGCACTAGGGCAAAAGCACCAACTGAGCTGCAAAGAAAAACATACATTCTTTAATTGTTAACCATTATTTGATCAGTGTTCTATGACCAAATTTTATACATAAAGCACTAGTATTATTAAAAACAGTTTAGATTTTCCCTGTGTTACATTATCATTATGGTAAACATGAGTACAGCTTTGTTTTTGTAATAAAAAAATTATGACTTTTGTGATCATTTTGGCTGGTTGATTATATTTTTCTAACTCAAAGTCTAAAAATTTGTACCCTTTTTCTTTTTCTTCTTCTTTTTACCTTCCTTCTGATGTGATTTGTTCATTTTCTTGGGTTTTCGTTCCATAACCTCCACGTTATCACCTTCCTCTTCCATACTTACTATGGAATTACTCGACACATCTGGCACACTTTTTGTGATGGTCCGCAAATTGAATCGTTTTGATACTGCACACAAGAAAATATATCATGTAAAATCCAGATTTTGCAAACAAAAGTACAAAAAATCAATAAACACGTAGATTCAATTTTTATTTGTTTATTTCAACAATATTTTGTGAGGGTAGGCCATCCAGCCACAGCTTATCAATTGGGACCCTCAGTACATACAATAAAAAACAAGACTATAAAAATAAAACTAGATCTTTAACATAAACAAGGTAATTAAACTGAAACAGAAAAATAAAAAATCAGAAAATTATATAAAAAAAAAACCCAATAAATAAATAAATAAAAATTAATGATTTGAGGAAAACACTAAAACTAAAAATTAGCAAAATGAAAAAAATTTGACACATTAAACAAAAATTTTTTATTGGTAATAATATAATAATAATAATAACAATGATATTTATAAAGCTGTCCAGATTATAAAGTTTTCTTTGACAAAAATTGTTGTATGCCCATATAGTCATGATGTGGCTATATATGGTCATAATGTGATGTCATCATGCCCATATTTAGGCATGTCACATGCTTTTGTCAAATAAACTTTAATTGGCTGGACAGGGCTTAAAGCAAGTTTACCTTCTGGCATTGTCCTCAAATCTAGGAGTCGAACTCCATCATTCTCACCGCCCATTGCTAACACGGTAGGAGCATCAGGGTTGTTACCTAAGCAATTCATTATGCCCATCTTCATATCTTTTGAGATTATTAATGATGGTTTATCATCCTGCAACCAAAATTATTTAAGTTGTCAACACTAATAGAGAATAGAGCAAACAGGGAAAAAAATTTTGAATATATCAAGTGAAAAATATGGTGTGCTTTACTAGTCTTCAATAATACGCAACAAGTAAAGCAAAAATAAACACAGTAGAATTAAATTAAATGTGAATAAGAAGCTCAAATAATTTCATCTGGTGTCTGTGATTTATGAACATGAAAAATTCTGAAACCATTTTTATGTGTTGGATATATATATATTTAACTAACTTTACCTTGTACTTTGATGTATTTTTATAATTTTTTACCCATATGTAACAAGCAAAATAAATCTTATGACAATGACTGGTACTACCTGAATCTATTTGTAGAGGGCAGCCCACAACATCAGGAATCATTAACAACTAACAAACCGGCCATAGTCTGATAAAGATCCGTTGACAACGGATAGAAGCATCATAAATATACGTATATTACAAGAATTTTTTTTTATGTTCGTAGTTAGTAAATGATGTTCAAAAATCAAGAACGACCAAAGAAGTAAAACAAATTCCTACTTAACTGTTATATCCCAAATTTTGACAAAGTGGTCAGCCGACACTGTCGTTAGACAATTATGTGTTTCGCTTGTCAGCGCAAGTCCAGTAACAGCCTTTTCATGTGCTTTCAGTGTAAAAACTGGCTTTTCCAACCTGACGTCAAGATTATAAACAAAGCCATCTTCCGTACTAGCCTTTAAGTAAAATAAACAATTTAATCTAATTCATTGCATCTTAGTTCACACACACACACACGTACTGCAAATGGGAAAACAAATCCCACAAAAACAAAACATGTTAATTATAAGATTGATGATTTTAAAAGAACACTTACTAGAAATGTGTTGGTATTTGAAGGGTTCCACAGAACACGTTCTATTTCACCGTTTAGATTCCATGAATTGCACGATGCATCTGGATCACGACAGTCATACAAATTCACAATTCTGCATTAGAAAAAAAAAAATTTACATATTATATAAAACACTTCATCCCTGTATCTAGTAATTTGTTCAAATCAAATTTAAACCGTATAATTTTTTCTTAACAGGAAAGCACTACGTCAATGCCACTATGTCAGGCAAAAGCATAATGTTTTAATATTTCATGTGTGTTTCTTTATATTTTACCTCCACAAGATTTTATATTGCCGACAACTGTCTATCTGATTATGCATAAACTAATGAGTGTATCATTATAAAATTTATTTGAGTGATTGATACTATGGTCTAAGAAAAGTGATTGAACTTCGGGGTGAAAGGCCAAGGTCATGGTAAGTAAAAGATCACCTTAATAAATTGGTCTGGTGAAAGTATACATTCTATCGTTTGCCCGCTCCAGTTTTATATTATCATTTATCTCATTGATCTGGCCATACTACATTTAAACACAGATTCATGTATTTCTACTACTCTTCCATCAGAGTTCCAATTGCTGGACCCAAGTCTACTTGAAAAGGACAATAAAACGTAAGTCCAGTGTAAATAACTTTACACAATCAAGAACACCTTGGCCCAAATACCCATATTACTGTGGTCAGATGAGAAACTGTTGGCCTACTGTTAACTAGAGTGTGTCTATGCTGTACACAATTCAGCTCAGTAAAGCTAAAAGACACAGGTTATTTTCCCTACATTTATCTTACCATTAATATTTTACTCTTTGAATGTAAAATGAAAATTAAATTACAATTTTTTTTTCTTGACAACATTGTGTGAATTGTCCATATAACATATCACATCCATATAAGGGCATGTTAATGTCTATCATGCCCATATATAGGCAAATCACAGGTAATTGTCAAATAAATTTTGTTAGTGTGGATAGAACCTTAATATGGTAGAGAAAACCTACTTATCAAATCCTCCAGACAGAAGGGTGTGGCCTTCATTTGCATGCCATTCAATAGTTTGAACTTTGTCCTTATGATGTCGTAGCGTGGATGCTACTTGCGTAGTAGCAAGATCCCACAATGCAATAGTCTCATCTGCCGATGCACTTGCCAGTATATGATTGAAGTTTCGATTCGACGACAGATCCAAAACAGCGCCAGCATGTCCGTTCTTTGGCTTCTTTTCTTTTTTCTACAATAACAGGATTCAGTTAACAAGGACAATTTAAAAAATTTCAAATGTAGATAAATTATAGTTTTGACAAATATTAAATATTCCTCTCAATTTTGTTATTTTTAGATTTTTCCCTAATCAATTCAACCAAGTAGATCAATCAAAATATTTTTCCGTATTGTAATTTTTCACAATATTTGTTTTGATTTTTATCTAATTCTTTTAAAACCGATATGAATGTTTCTAAATTGTACCTTTTCTCAACCAATTCTTTATTATGAACATTTTTCGTGTAATTGTCAATGTTTTCTTGTTGTATTAAGGACCGAATGGAAATAAGTCTATTTCTAAACTTTCTTAAGGTTATTCCTTGGTTTATTCAGATCAGACAATGCTGTCATTTGTTTGATTGTATGATATTTTTGTCCTTTTTTTATATTGTATTTTAAATCTGAATGAACTGAATAAATCTAAACTAACAGTCAGTATTCAATAAATATATAAAATCTAATTTTGGTCTGTCAGCCATTATCTTTCGTATTTGTACATAACAGATATTTAACTTTTCCTTACTTCTGTTTTAGTCTTTTTCTTCTTAGACTTAGGTTGACCTAAAGTGAAAGCAGGTTCTATTGCATCAATCAAATCCAAGTCCCAAAGTTCAATCACGGGAGACATACTACCAACTGCTATCATATTACCTGCAAAAAATAAAGTGATTAAATATACCCCAAAATCAACTGATAAATCACGTTCTCTTGAAAATTATATTTCAATATAAAAAATAAATGAAATATGTATGATGATAGTTCTGAAGGAATGTAATAAATTGAGGCTGTTTTTCTCTAGGATCCACTTTAACACCAAACTGAAGATATTTCCAAATTGACCTTACCTGATGTACTACCTTGGATCCACTCTAACGCCAATGGATATGAGGACAACAGCAAGTCATGATGTACATAAAACACGCCTCCTTCTTCATTGTAAACTGAAAATGAAGTGTTTAATCATTAGCCAGTGATTTTCCCTTAAACCCAATTTAATGAGTTCAACAGTGGCACATAACAGTGACATAAACATTCCGATATGATGTAAAATCACACAGTGTGCAAAAAAGTTGCTTCAAAATAAAAAAGTTAATAATGGCAAAGATGACATTGCATAGTGCAACAATCATCACACATGGGGAAAACAATGGATCACTGACGATCACTATCTCTATTTAAGACCAACAGAAGTTATTTTTTATCCTTCCCTTGATGATGATCTGAGTAATCTCACCGAAAAGTTGAGACCTCTCAAAAACCGTATTTTTACACATGGTGTACCAAAAGTTCCATGATTTTGTTACAGACACATAACGTTTGTGGACTGTGTCTGCCTGAATGCTTCAATGCTAATTCTTCAATTAGCATTCCAACATACCAGGTACCACATTACTCTACACTCTTGGCTGAAAAGAAACACTACAGGGGCTAGATTGATCAAACTAGAAATCAGCTTAAACTTGTCTTAAGTCAAATTTATCCATATTGCTTAGCTTACAAATTGCTTAAAATTAGAAAGTCAATTTTACGTTGGCGCCATTTAGGACGATTTTAAAGCCAAGATTTTGCTAAGATTGGGTAATAAATCAGCTTAAGATATTTATTAGGGGCATCCTTATGTCAAGGATATCCTTGATATAAGACATTTGCTAAGCTGAGATTGATAAATCCCAGGCCAGATGAAGTTCCTTGCTCAAATCATAAGCTTGACCCTAACCACACAATTCCCAGTTTCCAATCATTCTTACCATATATTTCTAGATTACTATAATCTTCTTCTGCTCGACCTACAACTAAAATGTTGTCTGTAGATTTAATAGCTATGTCGTCTGCTTCAGTATCACTACCCTGTGAAAATATAGAATATAGAGGAGGGTATAGCAGGCAAAGGTATAGCAGAAAAAGGGGCGTAACTGCCCATTTTTACACCTTATTCCCCCAGTTTTTAAATATTAAAAAATCTGTATCTCATTCACCGTTCCCCAGTTTTTCATCAAACAACTTTTTTCTGTCTTAGAAAAATCAGTTCTACAATATATCAAAAATTTTTTTTCCTCCGGAGCCCGACTTTTAAAACTTGTTTTGATTCATTTAACTTTATATATACTGAAATAATGAAATTTGTACTCAGTCTCCTCGAATAAAATAAGACTTTTATAGCATTTATATAAAAAATTTTGTTTCCAAGTTTTTAAGTACATTCAAGAAAGGTCTATTATGTATTGACAACACCAATGGTCTATGTGTATCAACTTGTTCCACTGTGACTTCAATATATTTTCAATGCTCTACTTACAGCATCCTTTAATGTGATGTATGGATCATCCTCATCGGCAGCATATATTGCCAATCCGGCCAGAGTATCGGTGATTCCACTACTAGAGCTTGCTACAAAATCCAAAAATATAACAACAACATGATCTCAAATGTATCAAAATTGATTAAAGTCAAACTACAAAGTCAATCAAAACTGATTTTTCTGAGATACTGAAATAGTGTTACTAAGTTGAATAAAGTTTTGAATATTTAAAAATTGGGGGTCTAGGCCTAAGTAGTTTTAAAAAATTAGTAATTATTCTTTCAACACTCTAGATGCATTTGTTATTTTCATTTCAGCCCAAAATTTATAGAGTACTTCAAAATTTTGATTGTTTCCTTGAGCAACACACTTTATCTATGTTGAGCTGTTGCAGAACCAGCAAATTGCTGCAAGGTAACAGGTGATGGACTAGTGTTCATTTTTGTGTTTTAAATGTAATTTTTTTTTATAAATGAATGTGAAAAAAAAAGTTCCAACACCATCCACATCAGTCGTCGCACTTTAGTCGCTGAAATATTTTTTTATGACGGACATTATCTTGAATTGAATGATTTGATCTATTGTAAATATATTATAAATTCCCAATGTAGTTCAACTGTTGTTATTCTTTACTTACATGTCGCTTGATCATACTTATTCATGTCGTACTGTACAAGATCACCATCTTCAGTTTCTTCTTGAGCACCATTTTCGTTATCACTAGTAAGCATGTCTTCATCATCTTCACTTTTGTCTACTTCATCCTTTTCAAGATCGTCTAATTGTCCTTTAGTACATTTAATTAAACTCTGCAATTGCTCTTTACTCAATACAACCTATAGGTACAACAACAATTTAATTATCAATTGTTTTAATATATATTTGCTTCTTAAAAAAAAAAAATCATCAAATTTGTGATCCCATCTTCTGGAGCATTAGTTTTTGACACAAATACTTGTGGCACAATTAAAACAGAAAATTTTACGATGTACAATACCTTATCGGGCTCTGCTTTTGCAACCCCTCTCCTGATCCACTGTAAGCATGTTATTACTGTCTTCATTCTCTAAAAGAAATAAGGGTAATTTATATATTATATACAGTACTTCATGTTTATTTAGCCATGGAGATATTATAGTAATCTGGAGAAACAACATGAATTCAGTCCTTTGATGATCATTCTGACCACGCTGATAAGAATCTGTGGTCATGCGTATCAATTTTGTATCAACATGCAGTGCGAGCGACATTCTGTATAGGAAGACGCTTGGCTTCCTTGGAGGGTTTGTGCTGTAAAGCACAGTTGATGTTGAATGCCAGTCACCATACCAAATTGAAATTTGAGATTTAGAATTTTTTTAGCTTAGCTAATACCCCAAAAGATAGCCCCAAACATTGAGATTTTTCGAGAAACTAGGCCAAGGTCCCTGTATGTCTACGGCCTGTTTAGATATGCACGAGCATCTTCAATCCGCAACATTCTCCTTAAAATACTACTTTTATTTTGATTTGCTGATGTATATCAACTATCTTTTATTTTCAACTCAGAGATTCACAATGAACAACTAATATGAGACATTATGTGATTTTATACTGAATATATTTATGCTGCCTAGACCTACAGATGCTGTTTATTGCTTTTACCAATTTAAAGTAAAACAGAATTTTATAATGAACAATCAAGATAAGATTTATAATGTTTAATTTCATTTTGATATGCTGCTGCATTATTTAGAAATTTGTTCATCGATCATTAAATCTACTTTTGAAACTTCTGCATTCTGGTTCAAAATGTATTTGCCTCGATTGGATTATTCCATTCTTTCGGCAAAGGTTTCGTCATCAGACAATAGTGTTGGTTGCTCTGGTTTCTAAGAGCATTTGTCATTTACCACTACGATGAGCAGCTGAAACACATATCAGCATAATTTATGTTACTTTTATTGAAAGAAATAAATAATTAATAATACTGAATTTAAAAATAGTATACCATTCCATATGACATGAAGAAGTTATTATCATTGTATTAAACCTGGTTGGGGTAGCTTTCAACCTTACATAATTAACTAAACTCCATACACCAACCCTCTCTCCTCTACCACCCCCCTCATTAGGGGCCTACTAGTACGAGTGAACTAGGCCTACGTCCTACCTCTGGTACAGTAGGCCTAGTATAGATCCCAGCCGTCGTTATTAAATTAAGTGATGTCACTGACAGCAAAATCGGCAAAAGTATCGGTATTTTGAAGGAAAATAACAAAAACAAGCACAATTAGGCACATATCACATCAACAAATTAATGTAAGACAATAATCTATTCTGTCAAACAAACAAACAGGAAATCCAATAAATATCATTTTTAACAAGGATATTCTCTAGAAACAATAAAACATACCTTTACTTTGATCGTACATAGAAATTGACTGAATAATTGGATTAAAATGTGGTTTTCAATAATTTTTTCAAAAGTAAATTGCGCTCGATATCAATATTTTCGTTAATAAGAAATGCTTAAACTGATAAACTGCACATGCTGTAAAAACATCTACAGTTTTGTATGTCTTTTCCCCTATAGCGAGGTCCAGTTGACGCCCCCAACAAATCTAGTTCTGCACATGCTCGGAGGTTGGAATGATCGAACATCAATAGACTGTGATATCGCGTCGATCTCTTTGTAGTAATTGCCTTATCAACAGATAAAGAACAGTGTTGTTTCTCCAGTTTACTATATCTCCATGATTTAGCTGACCCTATCTCCAGCCAAAAAAATCAGATCAAGAGATTTCTGTCATTGATCTTTCACAAGACAAAGAGCAACTTGCACATGATTATGCAGCACTGTATACTATTCAAGTTGTCATTTTACAATCTTGAAACATCCAATGTCTGGATGTCACCTTTGTTGGCTTTTCTAAAGTTTAGTCTTTCTGGAACTGAAAACAGTATTCCTTTTCTCTTGAATTTTTTCTCACATGCATATTCTTTCGGCACCATGTGCCTTCATGGCAACCCAATCAATGTTTTTAGAGAATAGCAGCGGTCCATCCTTATCTGTATTTAGGAGTGACTGTTCTTTGGGTGTTTTTTCAATAGCATCATAATGACTTTACTATTTTTATGCCAATACGTTACTTTCAATCATAAAAGAAAAGTCTGATTTTTATATATGTTATAAACATTTATAATATAATACAGATTGCTAGTTTAACTGAATTTAGACATTCCTAAACAGGAAAAAAATGTAAAATAAGATTGAAAATAAACATGGATGATTGTTTTATGTTTGATTTTGCGATAGGTCTGTGAAGAAATATAGTAGGCGCTGGAAACATTAGCCTATAGTCATCAACAATGCTAGGCTAGGCCTAACCTTACCTCAATTTAGATTCTGTTATCACACATAAAAAACGGCCGACATGATACTTTCCATTGCTAGTATTGACACTTGTGAAATATACATCTTAGGAATTATTTCAAATTTGTAAAAAAAAAAAAATTTGACCGACATTTTGACAAAAGCGAGAGCATTCCAGCAGATGCGAGCTACAGGATGCCTACATCATCTGAATTTGCCTAGGAAGGAAGAAGTTGTTGGAAAATGGTAATCTCCTATGGGAAATACTAGTCTTTATTTCTCATCCTTGTAAGGGCACATAGAAAACATTATTAGATTATCACCCTTTTTTATAAAAAAAAAATTGATGAGGCAGGGCGTTTTTTTTTTAATCGGAACAATTTAATAGATTATTTCGCTTTTGTTTTTATCAATGAGGACTGTTTATATTTGGTCTGTAATAGTAAATATTGTATAAAAACTGGTTTAATTTTATAGTACTTTAAAGAAAATTATTTGAAGTCACAAAATTGCTTGTTATTTTTATGCTGTTGAAATAATTGATGAGGCAAAAAAAAATTTTTTTTTTATTCCCGCATTAATATTTCCCGAATTGTTGACGCGGACAGGAGTGATAATCTAATAAATTTTTCTATTCCCCCTAAAACTAAAATTTATACCAATATTTTTCCATGGTTTATAAAAATTAGAATAGGGCCTAGGCCTAATGCATATGAATTTTTTCTAATGAAATTTTTTTAGTGAAATTTTGCCGGTAATGATGGGGCTTTAAATATTTGTTTTATACTATGGAAGTGAATAATGTCTTTTCAATGAATAAATGAATGAAAGAAAAAGAAAAAAAAAAAACGGCCAGATTATCTCTGCATCCTGCACATAACCACACTACCAACGGAAAACGGCCATTTTGACACTATTGGCGCGCCATACTTTCTATTGTTAAAAAACCGGCGGCCGAAATGATCTAAATAAAACCGTATTACTAGAGTCCTAGGCCAGCTGCAACAAGCAAGAAGGTCTTCCGGACCCTAGGCCTACTACTAAATACTTCCAAGCCTAAGCTGCAGAGAGGCTAACTAGGGGAGCTAATGAACTTTAGTACTCCACCCTTATTACATTAATTAACCATAATTCTAATCTCGCTATAGGCCTAGGCCTAGGCATATTAGTAGTAAAGGTTAGTTTCTTTAAGGGTAGAGTACTAAATAAAGACAAGTGCATTAGCGTCCTAACTGGGTACTTAATATTAGGTGAAAATACACTCATGGATGTGAAACTAATCTAGGCCTACGGCTTAGACTAGAGCCTTTGAACAAATTCGGATTCATCCACCAACCAATTTATCATGCCTCCTTTTCCCTCCTTCTTTCGTCAAAATCAACTTCTGCGTGCGGCGTGGTGGTGATGTCAAAAAGGGGCGACCTCAACGTTGAGCTCTGCAAAACCGGCATTTACACTCCTTTTCCGAACCATCTGTCCTTAAAACGGTATCAAATTTTAAGCTCTAGGCTTAGGTCTAATAATGAATGATACCGAATACTTCGAGTGCAACATACTATGTAATGAAAATGTATTATCACATTCGTCGTATGATTTGTTTAAAAAATCTTATATGACGTGTCAATATCATACGTAATCACGTGACGGAACGTCATTGATTGCGAATCGGCGAGACGTGACATACGGAAACACACTGAGAAATGGGTCCTACAAAAACGGAAATTCAAACAATTTTCAAGCGTCTAAAGTCAATTCAAACAAACAAGGTATGTCGCTACTGAATTAGAAATTATTCTTTGCAAATATGTTAAATAATTACCAAAAATAAACGCGCTTAAATTGGCCTACGGCAAGACCTAGGCTAGGCCTAGCTAGAATAATGCCCTTGCTTGGTTTGATGATAACCTGCGTACATACTGTGGCTCATCAGCATGGCAGGTAGTCTAGGCTAGGTAGGAGAGGCTAGCCAGCCTGGAATGTCCAAGAGGGCCTAGGCTAGAAAACGGTTACCAAATTATTTAAAACTTCAAATTTATTTTACCTTTTTTTGTGTGTAGGTAAGGTTCTTTATAGGCCTGTTGCACTAGGCCTATTTATTTTGATGGTTTTTGTATTAATTTTTGTACACTATTGATTGAAGTAGCTGGCGAAAACATTGTAGTAGCCGATCGAATGCGCCAGCCGCCAGCTCCTAAATAAACCACTGACATTTGTAAATAATGTCAATGTTTCAAAATAATTAAAAACTTAACATTATGGGAACGTTGTATGGGAGTAGGTGTGGCTTATACACAAAGAACTATATTTTGCGTCATTATTAGGGGTGTGGCTTTATACGCAGGTGCAGCTTATACACCGGAATATACGGTTATTGATTGAAATGTCAGAAAAATGGGAAAACTATGTATTTCCTAGGTTTTACTTTCCAATAATATATTATAAATAATCATCATTATTAATAATTATTGTTCTTATTAATGTGTAATTAAATAATTTTGCAATTGTGCCTCGTATCGAATTTCCAAGATGATTAATATGAATCTTTGAATTTACTAGCCCTTACATTTTCCTCAAACAACACCATAGTATTATATACTGTATTTCTACAAGAGATCATGTTTTCTAAGCTAAAGTATTAATTACTATCATGCCTACTACTGTTTATCGAGCATTCGGTTGCACTAATTCCCATAGCGAATCTTCATATTATGTTCTATCGAATCTTATAGTACTAAGTCGCTGTTAATTACTGTTATGTTCCATTATTATGGACCAAAAAGTGCAATAAACCTTACTACAGTACAACTTATTAAAACAATGATATTTTATTCTGAAAATATTCTGACTCAACATTCAAGATTCTATTTTAATACAATTAATCTCATAACTAATCATACAATAATAAAAATGAAATACAATATTCAAGAGAGTTTATGAGATAACACAGGCTCCAGCAAATATTTATTGACCGAAATACAATCCATAACCTAGGCCCCACAAGCTGACATATTGATGCAATCACATACCCACGAATAATCCAGTTGAAACCCGGACTGTACACAATTCCACTCATTCAAACACTTACTGGGATTCCCTGGACATGAATAATACTGTCATGCTTCCTGAAGCTGGTTATTGATTATTCATGTTATTCAAATATAATGTTCCTTGTGGGTGATGTATTAGTCTACCTACTAAACTATGTGATTCTCATGTGAAGGGAGCCCTCTAACACTCATTTTAAAATCCATTGTTTATCAAGCTTAACACATGTTCATTCTCAACCTATTTTACATCTCTAATCATCGTTTTTAGCTTTAAAAGTCAACATACTATAGTAATTAATAAGTTGAATCAATACTATACATATTAAACAAGTGTCCTTTGAAGTTGTGTATTGAGTAAAATCCACAATCTAGATATTTAAGGTAAAAAATCCAATTAAAGACAAATTTGTATAGGGCCCTACTGAGATCAGGCAGGCTTTGAAACAGACTATGGTAGCCCCACCCACACTCTCCCAGACTTGGTTGAGTAGGCCCAAGTCTAGACAGGAGAGGGAGTTTTCTCTTTGTAGTTTTGTATCATTCAGTGTAGATATTGGCTCATTTCAGTACAACAATATGAAAGATAATTATTTAGTAATGAAAAGGCGATTGCTGTATGTTAAATTACCACAATCAAACAAAATATTACAAATTAATATTAAATTTTGGTGTAGTGGGAATATTCAGTGTATGGGCAAGTGAATTTGAAAAGTCACTGAGCAGTGAGTCCATACCACCTTGGCATAGGCCTACATAATCCAATATTATTACAACAAAAAAATATTGAAATGTATAATGTTATAGAACCAGATAAAATTTCCATGCATGAATATTTTACAACAGAAAAAATTGACCACCAAGTAATTAATTGGTTTAACAAAGATAACATAGTCAATATTCCTGATGATGACATAATTAATGTCGAAATATTGAATCCCAACACGATGGCGTGTATTTCAATACTTGGACTGGAGTATGTATTATACTTTCTTATAGTCAATATAACGTTAAGAAACCACATGAATAAAAAAAAAAAAAAAAAAAAAAAACTATTAGAGAGGTTTACTGCTAGTGGAAACCGAATTTCCATGTATCATTTGTTACTTGGACAATAAATTATCTTGTATCTTGTATCTTTTTTTTTCCTACAGATTTGCGTGAGCTACAAACAAAAGAATTTTTATTTTCTTGTTAAATTTCATCTATTCATATCATATAATTTATTTCTCCATTAAATTTGCCTATTTAAATACTATAGCTTGTGCAAATATTCTTTCACAATAATGACAACAATTTTTAGCTTTATTTTTTGTAATGAAAACAATTTAAAATTTATGTATTAAAATATTGATACATCTTGTGCAAATACCCATTCACAAGTAATGATACAAAACATTGTACAGTAGATATATTATCTTGATTTTTTTGCTAATATAGAAAAGCTTACAATTTACATATTGAAAATACTGCTATATTATTTTTTGTAGAACATCATTATGTAATCATATTTTATTAATCCAATTTATTTTGAACATCATTGTCTTTGTAATATGTGATCAGAGGCTTATCTTCAAAGGTCAACCTAAGAATCGTGACTCTTGAGAAGATAACTGAAAACAAACAACTGGAAAAAGTATAGCATTTAGTGAAAGCTATTTGCTATTGCCATAATTTTGTTAATTTTCTATGTTTCCTTGTTCTGATTTTGAGAATATTCTCCTTTCCCCATATTTTAAAGTCATATTTATATTTTTTTGTTTTTCTCTTTCAGTCATGTTTTGATTGTAATAGCAACAATCCAACATGGGCTAGTGTAACATATGGAGTGTTTTTATGTATAGATTGTTCAGCTGTTCACCGTTCTCTTGGTGTTCACTTGACATTTATCAGGTAAAATTTTTCAAAACTTTTCCAAATACAAAAAGTACTTAGTGTAAAGGCCTATTTATACTTGTAAAAATACTTATTATTGCAAAGAAATAAGAGAAGTTTTTATACTAGGACGAGTCGATGACGATTCTTGCACTTTGTCATAACTTATTTTTTTCTCTGAAAGATCTACACAATTAGACACAACATGGACTTGGCCACAGCTTCGTGCTATGCAAGTTGCCGGCAATGCTAATGCAGTAAGTATATTTTCCAATTTTATTAATACCATCACAAAAGTTTTATTCATTTGGTAAGTCTTCTTGTAGGTTGTTGGAGAGAGAAGGCATTCTGTATGGGGATAGAGATTAAAAATGAACCTTAAAATTTACAACATGCATTCCAACAAGTGGGAGTGTAGATAAGTTCAATTCAAGGCCTAGCCAACGAGCCGTCTGGCCATCTTTTGGATGGCCAACAATTATTTAGGACAGCCACTTTTACCGTGACGGATTGGCCTACTCAGCTCGGCCCTGCCTAGTTGGGCCTGGTCTACTTTTACCAAATTCTTTATGTTCTTCGAATCTATCGAATGTTACATTAAGGTAAAGCTAAATCATATTTACATTTGATAAAACAATTTATTATTTGAATTACGTTGTTTTTATACCAACATTTGGTGGGGATCCCCAAAAGGTAAGGCTTTCATTGTCTATCCGGTAAAATTTCACTTACAACACGCATGTCATGTTAAAAACATTTATACCCCGCTGGAAAATGGACGGTTCTAATCCACCCGCAAAGCATGCATGTGGCTCTGCAAATACAGTACTTAAGATTTGGTTCCCCGGCATATCGTTGGTGTTTGTAACTCACTGGTTATAATTAATTCATAAAATGTAGCTGATTTGTTGTTAACATCAGAAATTTTATTAGTCAACAAATCACAGTAAGCCTAGACCTATACATCGATTCGGAGGAGGTAGAGTAGAATTTAAACTAGACTAGGGCGAGAAATGAAGATGCATCTGCATAGCGTAGAAAACTTATGTGCCGTGCACAGTGTATGTCTATAACTGAAATACAACACTATTTCTTTGAAGACAAAATTCCAGTATTTATAAACCTTTAGATCATAATTTTCTATATTTTTCTTGCGTAGGGAGGGGCACCCCCTTTCAGACCCACCCTTACTTGGGGGCCACACCTTTCGGCTGTCGCTACACAATAAGTTCTTCGTCTTCCATTTTGGACGGCCTATTTCATTTTTCTGGCTAAACTCTTGGTTGAAGTGGAGAGAAAAGGCATACATGGTAATTAAGGTTAAGATGACAATCAGTAGCAGTTGGCCTCACAGTAACACACCCCCAATGCAGTATGGACAATTATCATTAATGTATTGATGTTCATCATTTGTAGCTATTAAATTTATATTTTAGCTGATTTTTTTTTTTAGGTTTATAAACAGAATTAATTTGCATTTAATTTTAATATTCAAACGACTGAGAATCTTGAGAGAAATCAAAATTCAGAGAATAAGCCTATGCATATGTCAGCGGGTAGTGAGGTGACTATATTATTGGAAATGTTTAGCATGGTTGTAAAATTTAAATGAAATTTTTTGGAGAACTGAATTGTAACTCCTTTGAAAAGTTATTTGTTTTATTGTCTGAATCTTTGTATTTTAATTAAAATTCCATTTTTCTAGACTTCCTTCTTTAGACAACATGGCTGTACAACAAATGATGCAAATGCTAAATACAATAGTAGAGCAGCTCAGTTATACAAAGAGAAAGTAAAACAGCAAGCAAGTGCTGCTATGAGGAAGTATGGAAAGATGTGTATAAGAGACAGATACTGTCATGCTTCCTGAAGCTGGTTATTGATTATTCATGTTATTCAAATATAATGTTCCTTGTGGGTGATGTAAATCCGCTACTTAATTAACTTTATCGATTTATTGATTCACTTAATTGAAATATTTCTATAACATTCGTGTATATTATTATTATTACTTTATTATTTTTTTTATTATTGTTATTGATGTATTGTTATTGTTGTTATTATCATTATTATTATTATTACAGTATTATTATTATTATTATTATTGTTATTCTTATTATTATTTGGGCTACATGCTTAAAGTTCTTCTTGTTATGTTTGCCTTTTTCCAATTCCTTTGATTTTGATTTTCAATGTTTACTACTTATCTGTTGTAAATTCTTTGAATTGGAAATAAAATGATTGATTGATTGATTGAAGGAAGCTGCCATAACAATTCCAAAGGAATTTATGTTTTTTGAAAGTCTTCCATTCAGATCCATTGCATTTATCTTTCACCCTACCATACTCCCCCCCCCCTAATTTTGCCACTGCTTTTTAAAAATTTTGATACATACCAATGCCATGTATTGAAACAGTGCTACTAGTGCTCCCCATTTGGTGCCTCCCCATTTGAAAAATTCTGGATCTATCCGTGACCAAATATTCTGCTTCTTAGATAAAGGCTAATGCCCCAGTGAAATATCATTGAAATTGAACATCTGAAATAAAAACTTATCAGCAATGTAGAATTGTGGTGTAAAGGCTACTTGCATGCAATTTAGAAGACTGTATACCATTTTATATTTTGTACAAACTGTAGGTCATTATGTATTTATTACATTTTTTATCATTAGTGTATTTGAAAAAAAATAGTTAGGGTCTCAACGCTTTGATGCAAACAAGAACATTTAAAGTCAGGCTCCGGAGGAAATCTGTATCTCATTCACCGTTCCCCATTTTTTCATCAAACAACTTTTTTCTGTCTTAGAAAAATCAGTTCTACAACATATAAAAAAAATTTTTTCCTCCGGAGCCTGACTTTAAAGTATTGTTTGCTTACATATCCAACAGCCATTGTAATAATAGGACTGTAATCTTCTTTAAAAAAATAAATTAATGGGTGTTACAATCAGTAGTAAAATGTGCAGTAATTACTTCAATTTGAAACTGCATGGAATATTTACATTTTTTGTAGGAAATATTTGTAATGTTTTTATTTTGATTTGAATTTCTTAAATTAAAGCTGCATATTGAAGAGATTGCTCACATGTACTCACCAGAGAAGAAAGATGCAGACTTCTTCAAGGAACACACACAGTATGAAGAGCAAGCATCATTAAGTCAAAGTATATCAATCAGTAAACCAACTGCAATTAAGAATGGCAATGCGCAAGGTATTAATTATGGATTTTAAATATTGAACAACATACAATTAAATCAATATTTACTGTTTAGTGTTCAAAGCATCTCTGTTACCAAAACCTTACTGAAACTAAGCTTAGGCAAGAGGTATTCTACACTGCCTCTGCAATGATCATTACTTGTAGCAGTATACTACGTTTAAATAATTTTCTTTTTTTTTAGTGGTATCAGAGCTGAACATAAACTTATTAAACATCAATTTCTGCAGCTATGAATAAGTCAACTTACAAAACAAGATATATGTTTTATTCAAGTTTTCTTTACAAACTTATTTATTTTTTACTTTGGTCTATAAGATTACAATACAGTTTACAATTTTACAAACTGGCTTATGTATTGGTTACCTTTTAACTAACATTAGAGCATTGTTCTTTAAATTGGCATTCAAGCTGACTTTTATGACCTTCAAATCATCTGGTTGATTTAATATTAACCTCTACTTGAGCCTACATTAAGAATATTTTAATATGGCTTGCCCTAATATTTACTCCTTATTATTTAAAATTTAGGTCGTGGTGACCCTGATGCTGCCCCTGATGTTTCAGCCGCCTTAGCTACCTCACCAACGCTGGCTAAAGCTGAGCCTAGAAAATCTACAATTGGAACTCGTAAACCTATGAGTGCAAAGAAAGGGGTAAGGCATTCATTAATTCATTCATTCATCAATCTAACTTCAAGTCATGTGAGGGTATATTTCTCATATTACAAAACAATACATTTAAACAACCATAGTTATCTCACAGTAGCTATCTTAAGCCTTCTTCCCATAAAATATCTAAACAGTCACTGCAGTATTGTCACTGCAATTTTTACATGGTGTATCTGTCTCTTACATATTGGGATGGCTCGTAAATTTAACTGACCAATCAGCTTCGCCAAAAGTTGTAATAAAGTTTGAAATTCCTTGATTAATATTCTAAATAACTTTAATTTATATTAATATGTTAAAATTTAAACCAAAAAATATTGATTATGCGGATGTTTTTTTCTTTATTCTAGCTCGGAGCAAAACGAGGCATGGGAGCACAAAAAGTTAAGACAGATTTCAAAGCAATAGAATCGCAGGCTATGGCAGCAGATAAGTTAAAGGAAGACTCAGCTAAACAGAAAGTTAAGACAAAAGAAGAAGAACAAGAACAAATGTGAGTAACTGTAAGGTTATTGTTATATTGTGAGCCAAACGGGAGGCTATTACGAGGTAAGATGCACAGTGTTTATTGTATTGAGAGTAGCGTAACTGAGGCAGATTCCAATTGGTCAATTGTTGAGTTTGATTGACACTCTAGAAAGGTCTATTACTGGGTCATCATGGTTATTTTATCTCTGGGGTGTATGTGGTTATTCCAATTCTGCATTATTGGAATCCTTATCCGTATCTAATGACTAGGCTAATAACATCTTTTTCATTTCCTTTTAAAATGTTTATAAAACCACCCATTTCATGTTCTTCAATGTGTTATGTGGGAAACGTGTGCATAACACAGGTTCTAAATTATATTACATAAATAATATTATATACTATATAGGAATATATGTTTTTATATAAAGAAACTTTCTGTTGAAGGGCTATACTCAATATGATTATAACATCTTGTTCCTATTTGAGCACTGTTGTTATTTATCTATTTGTTTATATTTTTATATACCCATATTATAGATGAATAATTTACAGCATAATGTATACTTAACAATGTGTGTTGATGTTTGTGTATGTGTATCATTTTAGGGCATCTATGAGGTTAGCCTATCAAGACATGAGTCTACAAATGAAGAAGCAGGAAGAGAAGATGAAGAATGTGGATCCAAATAAAGCCAAGCAAATGGAACGGTTGGGCATGGGATATGTAGGAGCAGGTAGAAGGTAAGTACCTCAAATTTACTGTAAAACATGTGGTGATGTTTGTGGTGTTTCATTTTGGTGACCTTCCTTCTTTTGCACATTGAGCACTACTGCAGTGGATATGTGTGCTTTATTTATAGTCTTATTATTATTAAGTGAACATCAGTTGATATGTTAAAAGACATACAGTAAAACCTCTGATAGAAGCCCCATGGGCTTAACTTCGAGAAGAAGCCCATCTCAGAAAGAAGCCCTCTTTCTTTAGTTTTCAAAAGTAAGCTCGAAAAGAAGTGATCTTGGAAAGAAGCCCATGAGCTTCTAATCAAAATTATATGGACTTCTTTTTACATGGACTTACTTGCATTCAGACTGACGTTATCTTTGGTGATTATGTTAGCATGTCAGTTTCAATATTGTTTTACTGTACTAGCATGGTTAAAATTTATAAAATAATAAACAGAATTTTTAATTCTATAGTTTTTACGCAATTCCAAAATTTAAAGCATTCATTTTGAAAAGAAGATCCCACCTTTAATTTGCAAAAGTAATCTTGAGAAGAAGGCCATCTCCTTTTATGGTATATAAATGAAATAAGAATAAACACAATATGTCAATATGTCAACATACATATTATAATAATATACTAAACCCAGTAACATTACACTGCTATTAAATGATTGTGATTGTGTTACACCATTAAACTTGTATAATCAAATCGATGCAATATTGGAATGTTGTAATTTATGTTTGAATGTTGCTGTGGCTATTTTGATTCTCTCAATTTGTGATTTTTTAGTTTAGAATTTAACAATTTTTTATTTCATTGGTTACTTTTCTAGTGGTGTGTCTCATTCTGCTATGAGTGATATGCAAACAATAGACCAGGTTAATCCTGTCAAGACCAAATCCAAGTTCAAGTCTTCCAACCGTGATTTCTTTGACGATTTTGACACTGGTTTCTCAAGCAAGAATTCATCAAGGTACTGACACTCTTAATTAAACACTAGCCTTTTATTAGTGTTTTATTAGTCTTCATAATATTGATAAAAATTAGAATCAACTCATGTTAAACATTGTTTGACATTAGTCCAACATTGCAGGAATTTTTTTTTGCATATATGCATTTATTGTGATTGAGATAAAAACAAATTTTAATTTTGATATAAATAAAGGAAGGCATTAAAAAGTTAAGGATCCATCATCATACTATAGTTAGAAATATTTTAAGGTTAATACTTATTGACCATGATGATGGGAAGAAATCAGTTGTTAATTAGTACCCATGGTCTATGACATAAACCAATCAAATGTTTACCTTTATATACTATGTGGTGTAGCTTATCGAGTTGTATAAGAATTATTATGCACATGAATAACAATTCACCATAATAAGCAACAAAAAATGTATATCTGTCTATTTGACTTTCAAAACTTTATGCAGACCCTACAACATAAAGCAGCATAGTATTAAATAATTCTGCTTTTTTACAATAAAAATTTATAGTAGGGACAGAGCGTTAGTATAAATGTAAACAGTTTGATTGGTTGATATACATTATCCAAACTAGATGAAGGTATTTGGTCGATGTTGTGTTGCAGCATTATGCAGTAATACAGTAGCATATGCAACAAAGCACTATGTATTGTACAAGCCAGTATTCCAATTACTATTTTGCAGCAGCTTAGCAAAGATTTTATGGTTTATATATTAAAGAAATTATGTTTGGTTAAGGAGAATCCTCCCAGAATGTAAATTGAACCAAACAAAGAATACTTATTGCAGAATGCTAGAGCCCTGCAACTCAAGCAGCTACTAAATAGGCTTATATAAAGTAAATACTATACATCATTTTTTAATTGACTCATCCACTGTCTTCTTATAAATGTACAATGAACATAATTTTCTGTATTATGTTCAGTTTTAATGTTTGCTGTAAATAAGTAATTTTGTATGTTTTAAAATATGCAAAAAAAAATTGTAAGTTTCGATGTTTGTGGCGTTCATTCCTTGTACACTCATAGAAAATAAAACTGCTAAATGCTGAAACAGTATAACACTCTCATCATTTTATCATATAACCATTTTATTATACTCATGGGGGGTTCTACCCTTGCTTTCTTTTAGCTGTGATAATAACTGTTTGTGGATATTCAAATAGTTTCATTGTATGCATTATTTTATTAATAAGTGTCCATTACATTTAATGTTCAATGGGAATTTCAGTCTGAAATATTTTACACCGAAATGTTTTGAGGCTTTAGATTTGTCTAATGATTAATAATTGAGGATAGTTATAAACAATTAATTATTTTTTTATGAATAAATGTAGCTTATAATTATTATGAATGTTAATGTTGTCATATTATTATTATCATTATTATTTATAAAAGGATTTTTTGTGGTCAGGCCCGAGATATTAACAAAAGCATCATATTTCTGTCAAAAGAACGAGGATTGCACATTCATTAATTGAACACATTGTCATCACTTATTACTATAGTATACACCCTAGTTTTCAATGACCTGCATAATAAGCTATGCTTTCAGACTTTTATCGTATTGAAAGCAATATATACTGACTTGTTGACAATAATACCATACAACAATTATTAGCAAAATTAATGTTGGCTCCAGTATATAGAATTAATCTGTCATTTAATTACTTTAAAATCATTTATGAAAGTCGATACTTAATGCTCAAGCTTAATGCCTTGAAAAAACATCCAGAGGGAGCCTTCATAAATAACAAACTGCAATGTATGTACAATATGGCTCAAAATGGTATAACAGAAAGCAACTTAGCTCAGTCGGCTAAACTGGTGGTAGCCACTGTGTGCACGCTGAACCGTGGAGATCTCTTGGTCCCCGGTTCAATTCCCATTGCCTCTCTTGTTACGATAGGGCATCGTCTTTCAGATGAGACGTTTAAGTCGTTGGTCTGGCGTGCATTATGGACCATGTGCACGTAATAGAACGCAGTACACTCTTCGGAAAAGAGTAGGGGATTGTTTCCCAGTGGACTGCCCAATCACCACCAGAAGGACCCCACTGGAAATAAGTCTTCTACAGACTTTCCTGGGTTATCCTTGGTGTTTAACACTGAATAAATCCAATCCAATCCTGATCTCTAAACATTTTCTTTATTCTTAGTCTTATTACCTACCGAATAAAAACCGTTATTATTCTATGGGATCTGTTGAAGTGAGGTTTTGAGTTAAAATTAAGATCCCGTGCCAAACACATAAGCATCTGACTTGTTGCAATGTTTTTTTTATCTTATCCATGAGAAAAAGGTTTATTAGTGTCCCAATGATAACAAATATCAAGGCATGTTTGGTAATGTGTACTCTTTGATTAAGTGCTACAATATTTATTATAATAAAATACATATCTAATTAGTAAGTGCTGCAGCACTTATTCATCAGTAGTGCTTATTTCAGGAAGGTCATTTTTTGATAAAAAAATATGCATGTGCCCATAAAGTCATCGGGTACAAGCTAGAGTATGATATTTCCTTATTAATCCATGGTTTATTGACAAATAGGTTTTGTGGTAATTGTGACATTTCTGATGATGACATAATTTATGTCGAATATTGAATCCTGATATGATGGCGTGCATTTCGATGCTTGGAGTATGTATTATACTATCTTGTGCTATTAAACAATTTAATTTAAGTGTGCCCTCTATAGTTATAACAACTATTCTATTTGCAAAATCAGTGAAGCATAACCAGCTCTTATATCTATTCTAATTTCCCAGTTTAGATTTATTACTAGCCCACTCATTCATCCTAGTTTATTATGCTTTATTAATCGACATAGCATAAACATAAATTGCTTCAACATACTATCTGGCGACAAACATACAATAAAAGTGGATCCTGTAATTAATTTTGATAACTTACATAATTAAAATAACAGTTAAAAACCTACCTTGAGGATTTGACCTGGATACTTAGAGATTTGACATACAGTCTGCATTTTAAAGAATGTGATACATAGAAATTTACAAACACACTGTACACGACACACAATGATGTAAAAGTTTTAAGCATTATAAAAACAAAATATTTAATATAGATATTTGATTCAAAATTACAAAACTTACATAATTGTTATACTGTACAACAATTTAATAATTTTGACTAGGCCTAGATGCCAAAATATGTAGGCCTACTAATATAGACGATTACTATATATGTTCTTAATCCGGAGTGACCACAATCACCCCAGTTTGTATACGGACATTTTTGACTACAGTGAGAACAATTTTGTACAATTTACATTCCACGAGAAGTTACAACACTTTAAAAATGATTTTATTAAATCTATTTTCTCTGGTAAGAATATTTGTTCATCAATACCCCATTACTTTTTTGAGGTATTAATGCCAACTTTGAGTATATGGACATCATTGGTTTTAATCTAGATTATGTTTAAAGCATCAAATATAAAAATAATAATGATTTAGTATATTCATGAAAAACATTTGATTTGCACTACAGTGTATTACTCTGCATTGGTGTATTTTCACTGTAGTTTTGTTGTTCATAGTAAAAATGTTGCATGAGATGTCATCCCTGGAAACAAGAACGTAGGATATAGTTCAGTTTATATTAAAAAATAATTCATAAATACAAACATACTTTAGCTATAGTGTCACTACGCAGTTTTATGTGCGCATTTTTCAATTGGCTATTTGATCCCCTCATATTATTGTTCCAAAACATTAGTTTATTAATTTTTAGTCTGATTACATGGGCGGGTATATGCACTCATGCTTTTGGGTATATGCAAGTTATTGCTTGAGAAAATATTCATTCTTTGCATTTTAATACTGCATTTTGGAATATTATATTTGTAAATATACAGTGCTATTTTTTTTTACCTTAGTGCTAATTATTAAGAGATTTCAATTACTTATTTTACATGTGATTGACATGACCAGAAACCAAATATGAATCACTACAGGTTGTTAATAGGTTGTTTAGTAATTAGGGCAAGAATTTTTTTATACCTTGTTCAGCGAACCCGCCGACTGAAAATATTGATGATTTCAAATAAAAATAAAATTTTATTTTTGGCCAATTAGCGCACCCGCCGCCACGAAAAAGTGGAAATGGAAAAAAAAGAAATTTTTCTTTATTTTTATTGCACCTCTGCTGCCTTGAAATCTCCAAAGATAAGATATATATATTTCTTCTTAATTATATAAATTTGAAGCATTTAACCATCCTATTTTACATTCAACAATAAATTTTTTTTTATTTACTCCTCTGTCTGGATGATTTTGGCAAATCTATTTGCTAAGTAAGAAAACAAAATTTTATTTTTATTTTTATTCCAACCTCTTCCAATAATCTTTAAAAAAAAGAAGTACGCGAAACAAGGAATAAAAAAAATCTCGCCTAGGTAAAAAAAACTGTTGTTCAAGCCCAATAAACATGAAATCTTGAAAATCTTTGGCCTGCTTGTTGATGGAAAGATATATTTTTTCCTCTAAGTACGAGCCTGAAACACTGTAGTATAAGGAAAGGGTACTTTTCAGACTGGGATTAATTATTTTATTATTACATAACCACACATTTTAGCTTATTGGTTAGTTTGACCCACCGGAATGCAAGGGGGAGAGTGATGGTTAAATCTAAAATTTGGCCAGTGCTAAAATTTAAAAATTATGCGAAATCATAACTTGTCATGCAATGTGCATGGGAAACACAGCAGTTTTTTTGGCCTTATCTAATACAATAGTTCCTCTGGTGTAAGTCCACCCCCCTTGGGCTGATTTTGGGCAATGGGTCTGAACCCGAGGATTCCCCTTTTCAATCAAAAGGCAGTTCTTTCAGCAATGCATGCCTTATTCAAAGACAATATTTGAATTTTTTAAAAAGCATTATGAAAAGTCAGCTAAGCTGCTCCTTTAAATTATACCCTGGGCTTTTGCTCGAGAAAGGCTGGTATGTAAAAATTGGTTGTAAAGTAGGGGATGGGCTTATAGCCAAGGAACTACAGTAGGTCTATTCCTATATGTTGATGTATTTGGTTATTAATAAGCATTAAAACTTGCTCCTAATGCCACAATGAAGTTATCTGTTGTAAATAACCTCATTAAATATATAGGCCTACTTTTATACTCATTTAAAATATTCTCCTACTTTAAGGTTATTGAATAGATTGAATTTGAATACAATACTGTCTTTATTAACATCTGGAGGAAAACCAAATTAGATGGAATTTCTTAAGTAAAAGATTAAATGTCATCTACATTTGAATTTGAAACTTAACAGTTTTCACAGATTTCAAGAAAATCCATAAATTGATAACCAATATTTAACAATTTAAAGGTTCATGCAAAAAATATGGAAGCAGAATTATTTATGTATCATTTGAAAATATTTTATTCAATTGAATTTAAAAAAAAATACATGAAAATATACTAGCAAGAAATTCTGATATTGAATTTTCATAGTTCAAGTTCATTAGATATATCGAGACAGTATAATTTTAAGTAGGGATATCTATACTGTAAGCTATTTGCTTATTGAAAATGCCACAAGTATAGTTGAAATAAATGATATAAAAGTACTTTGTTTCATGTTCCTTCATCATAGTCTCTCTCTGTCACTCTCTTTTAATCTCATCATGTTTAAAGTGTAGCTGTGGTTTAGTGGTGAAGGTACCTTGCTTTCAAGCTCAAGCTCATTGGTTCAATCCTGAAAAAAGGTCATGATGTCTTTTACAACAAAACACATCGCCATTCTCCAAGCCTCACTAGGTGGATTTATCACCCTAGTATAAAATTTAATAAGTGTTGTTGTGGAGTATTATATTAATTCAGTTTATAATGGCATGATAGTGTTGGTATACTATAGATGATATGTGGTTTTAAAATATAACAACACAGTAATACTCCATAAGACAATCACTGAAGCACAAGACATACTTCAAAAATCAATTTTTTAGTATAATCTGAAAATTTCTAAAAAGTTCAGTTTGAGAATTTAATTGCTCATTTGATAGGTTCAAATAAGTTGTCAATTTTCAGTAGAATCTATTCAGTTTTCACTGGAAAACGACAACAATCCCTCAATTGATTATCAATCAATGTAAAGTGTTTATGAAAAGAACTGTATTATTTATCTGTCTGTTAAATTTGGTCTGAAAAATGTTTTATTCCTTAAATATACAAAGTATTGTTTTAAATAGTTGTTAAACTCAAAACAGATAGTCTATTTTTTAATGTTAATTTGATGTGTTATTTCTTTGCCAATAGTTTCATTGAGTATTCATGAATTAATAATCAACTGACATGAATAAATTTGCTTGGAGAGGTAAGTATATAGGATAAAAGGAAAAAAGAAAGTATAAATATTGGTAGTTGTTGTAGCTGGATGGTCCATGAAAATTAAATACACAAAATGATTGTTACTGTCTATTTTTATTTAAATATATAATATATTCCGGCAGATGATTTTGCTTTGTTGATAACCCTTGCTTCTCACCATGAGATTTTGTTTTTCATATAGTTCCAGAGGATATTCCAGCAGGAGTAATCGTAATTATCAGGATGACGATGATGAGGATGATGAGGAAGCAGACAACATGAAAGAGAGTGAATGGGAAATTATAGATAGAACTTCAGCAAAGCCAAAATCTTATGACAAAGTTATTCCAATTGAAACTGGGTAAGTTGTTAATGCCTTTTGAACTTGTAACATAAACGTTATTAATATGTTGTTTGTTGTATAAGGGCGGGGACTCACTGCATCGTAAGACAGTCATACGACCCGACAACTCCAACTCACTCCCTGTGAGCAATAGGCGACGCGGTGCCATCTGCTGATTGTTAGTGGCAGCCTGAACGAATCGTCATTAAAATGGATCCGTTGTGCGCGCGTTCTCAATCGCATTGAGAGCCCGGCTTGGAAATTTGAAAACCCTTTTAATTGATATTTTTTATGAGATGCAATTTTTTTTTTTAATTCAGTTTTTGCTGACTTGCTGAGTTTTTACTTTAAATAGAGTAATTGCAAAGAATATAGGAACAATCTTATTTAAGGTTCTGTTATTTGTTTTTGATTGAATGCTAATAACTATACAGATACTCACCCAAAAGTCATAAAAAATGTATAATAACAATTTAAAATACTCATTTTAAAAGACAATCACTTGTGATTCATCTTTTGATAGTCACTGATCAAATTTAATATTCAACAATATTGAGAATTTTTACTGCCAGAAATTAAAGGGAATGCTATTAAATATCTGTTAATTTTTCTTGTTTTAAATTGCACTTGAATATAACTTACTGAATTAATCATTAAAAAAAAAATTATATTTGATTTAAGTGGCAGTATATCTTGAAAAAAATGTCTTTTAAAAATTAAACAATTCATATATTATTGGTAATAATTTTTATTTTTCATTTCTCATCACAGGCAAGTATCTATAATATTTAATGAGATTTAAGTGCAAATCCTTTGTTACCTGTATCCTAAGATTCCTGTTCCGTGTCAAATTACACAATGAAAGTGATTCCTATTAATGCATTGATATCCTAAGAAGTGAACCATATTAATGCAACAAATGGATTAGCATTAATATCATAGTAACTGCAGTGAACAGAACTCGATAAGTGATGGAATGTTATTGAAGAATGTACTGTCTACCAAAAAAAAAAAAAAATCTGGAAAAACATCAAAAATCCAATAACAATTTTGAAAAGCTCATTCAAAAGGATTAAATATGCAATTAAGTTCCAACCAAAACCAGATCATTTTTTTGACTTACAAACATTGTACTTCAAAAACCTTTAAATTGCTTATCAGCCAATTTATGGGTCTATGCAAAATAATGCAGGAAAAATATTATTTAAGTTAATATTACTTACTAAAATATAAAGATTTGGCAATTCAAAATGGAATTAAATTGTTCATATTTTGGCTCATGGCAGACAGTGCAGCTTTGAGGTTGGTGTATTATCTTATCAATCTAGACTGAGATTTTCATTTTTTGTTTGTTTTTGTTTCAGGCATAGTAAGACTAGTCGGAGCAGAAAAGAATATGTTCCCCCTTCTGAACCAGCAGATACAAGCAGGTTTGCTAATGCCAAGTCCATTTCCTCGGATCAGTATTTTGGCAATGATAAAATAGATGTGAGTACTGTAATGTTTTTCAGTCATTCACCATTCATTATTACTGTTATAGTAATATAATGTAGTAGGATTGATATAGCGCTATACCAAAGTCTGAAAGCGCTCTAGGTGTGGCAAAGCTTATATAGCAAGTTCCTTCTCCCCTTCTCTTCATGTCTGAACATAAGCTAGAGATGAAAATAACAGTCTTGCTTTGTTGGGTCCGCGCAAGGCACTGACCCCAGATTCTCACTGCTGTTCTTGTTCTTGTTCTTGTTACCAAAACATTAAAAGAGTCCAGCGTCGCCAGTTTTGAACGGACGTCACATAAACCAGAGGTGATTTCCACCAAACGTTCATCGCCCTTTTTTAAGTTGGACCCCAGGGTTCCCCCTGCGACTACAAACCAAAACGGGTTTCAGCAAGGACTGTACATTACTGCCATTATCACTGATAGGGCATGTCGCATGGATGGCGCAGTCGGTTAAGGATGTGTTCTAAAGAACTAATAAGGTAGTGAGTTCGTATTCAATTTTTTTTTCCCAATTTTAAGAAATTTTATTTTTTTCAATTTTAAGATAATTCAATTTTGTACAATGAACATTCTAAATAAGTAATTTTTTTATTGGAGGAACATGTGGACCGGTGAGCGGCTGCTCTTGTTTTTGTGAGGTTGAAGTCATGCAGCTGGCTCTTAAGCCAACGAAACATGATGGCATGCCTAGGCGTGTCCTAAAAACCAACTAGTGAGCCAAAAAAAAAAAAAAAAAAAAGAAAACTACATCAAGCTGAGAGCCTATTTATAAGGCTTACTCTTAAATTGAGTTGAAATTCTTAATAAAATTGAACAAATATTTCCCATCAATAAATTTTGTCCCATTGACTCATTGTCCCATTGATACAGATACACATATTGTATCCATGTCCCCATAGATATATATTGTCATTCTGGAATAAAATATCCAGCATTTTAAAAATTATAATACTGTAAAATATTAAAGATAGTGATGCAAAATGTAAATAGTCTATTTAATATACGTTGAAGCAATGTGACATTTAACTATTTATTCCGGCCATCAACAAGGACAAAATAATACATGCACTTGAATAGTTAACTAAGTGATACATTAAAAAAAAAAAGCACAGCTTCCTGTTTGCTCTGGGAATCCAGTAGTGAAGAAATCATCATACTCTGGTTTCTTTGTGATTAAACCAGAATTGTTCACTTACATGCGACGTTTTAATCCGATTACATCGCGGTTCTTCTTCAAAGACAAATCATGTTATTGCTATTTGTCGTTGCTGCTGTTGATTGATGGATTTTTGACGATATGCGCTACGTTGACTTAATTACTTTTGTGGTAAGCCTCAACTAACTAAAGTGGCAATTGAAATACAACAAATTCACATTGTACTATTAAAAACTGCTGGTGATTATTTAGTTTTTGTTTTTATATGCCCAACAGAATAGAGAAAACAAAAGTTGAGAATTTAGTAATCTAATAATGCTTGCCTCTTGAATATTAATTGTGGTTGTGTTGAGATAGACTGCTTAATTCAGAACTCCTTATGAAGACATTTGATCTTACAAACATTCTGTCAGATAGAGTAGTCAATTAGATAGAAGAGGTGTTTTCAGTTTTATGAGCCTGTCAGTGTATGAAATATGAGACACATAATCCTGTCATTTGTGCAGAAACTAAGGGTGGGATTCTACTGGCTAGGAAAAATCGTTTCAAAGAACTATTCTTTTAAGAACGATTTCCTGTGGCACTAGAAACGGGGCCCATAAAAAATGGATTATTTTAATGTGCCAAAGAACCATGTACATGCATGTGCAACTTAATAACTATTTGTCGGTTCGAAGTATTTAATGCTTATCTTTGTCATTCAATTACTAGCCCATGGTTTTGATAACCATGTCTTTCTCGATTTTCACACGTATGTAACAGGATTCAGAATTGATTCTACCGTGTCCATTATTTTTCCTACTTGATTGGTCGCCACACTGAAGCACCATATTCTAAAAATAAGTATAGTAATGATAATAATAATAATAATAATAATAATAATAATAATAATAATAATAATAATAATAATTTTTCAAAAGAATTTAATTTGACTTCAGTATACATAGATTATATTTAACAGTGACTAATCATGGTTGGGGATTATAAATTCTCTGTAATTGTTAATCTGGCAATATGTATAGCAATTGTGGTGAAGTAAATCTACAGGCTTAGATCAAAAGATCAAAGTCAACCACATGCAATAAATGTACAGCCTGATTTTTTGACAGTTATACAATTTGTTTTCTTGATGCCAATTTCGTTTACCATATCCTTTTATTAATATTTTATACACAGTAATTTCCAAGAGAATAAATGAATTGATTCTGATTCTGATTTTTTTTATATGCCATGAAATACTTGGATCTGGGGCTGAAACCTAGCATAAGCCACTTCACAGCCTGTCAACAATGCAAGCTTGGATATCTGAAGCATGGCTGGCTAAGAAACAACAATGAAACGAATCCATTATTAATATTTATAGCAATCTTGATGGTGAATTATGAAAAGTCACAATATCTCAAATGTTAGCAATGGAAAAGCATTTTTGATATTTAATTAAACTGAGTGTGTTGATGGAACAATAATATTTTTAAAAATTACTATTAAAGCGCCTTGAGGTTGTGTCAACGTGAGGCGCTATATAAATCCAGAATTATTTATAATTGTATAATTTCCTGGCTGGTAATTTATGTGATCCTTCGTAGAACTTAGCTAGCCTAGAAATCGTAGCATAGTTTGCAGGTGAAGACACTTGTGCATACCTAAACAGGCCATAGATATGCAGGGCCTAGTCCTAACATTTGTCGAAAAATCTCAATGTTTGGGACCAGTATCCTTGGAGCATTAGCAAACAATTAAGGCAAAATTCTCAAGTTGAATTTCCAATCAATTTGTTATAGTTTGCTGGCGTCCCAACAAGATTACGGCACGGTGTGCTGTAGTAAAGGCCTAGCTACCAACATATTTTTCTTTGAGATATGACCAAGATTTGCCTTCGTTCCCTAACAAATACAGCAATTGTTATGAATTTTACAGCAATAACAAGGGACAGCCTCCATAGCGATCTCCATCACAAATTCATCTATTGAAGCCTGGTTCACATATATGGGCATATGATTCTGATCATGTTTTTGTCAGTTACACTACACAATTTTTCGGATTGTGAGGTTTTGTTGTTGGTTACACTACACAATTTGTTGGATTGTGAGGTTTTTGTTGTTGGTTACACTACACAATTTGTTGGATTGTGAGGTTTTTGTTGTTGGTTGCACTACACAATTTGTTGGATTATGAGGTTTTTGTTGTTGGTTACACTACACAATTTGTTGGATTGTGAGGTTTTTGTTGTTGGTTACACTACACAATTTGTTGGATTGTGAGGTTTTTGTTGTTGGTTGCACTACACAATTTGTTGGATTATGAGGTTTTTGTTGTTGGTTGCACTACACAATTTTTTGGATTGGGAGGTTTTTGTTGTTGGTTGCACTACACAATTTGTCGAATTATGAGGTTTTTGTTGTTGGTTGCACTACACAATTTGTCGGATTGTGAGGTTTTTGTCAGTTGCTCCACTCAATTTGTTGGATTTTGAGGTTTTGGACCGGTTCTTTCCTACCAATTTGCTATCTTTCAACCGTAGCTGTTAATGTTTAGTTTGTCCCAGCTTCAACAATAGTCCTCAATCACAGATACTATGACAGACCTAATACCATGAGCCCATTTTTTATATTATTTGACTTATTTGTCTTCAATTATGACCTTTTACAAGGTGTCTTCATAGTCTCCAAATATCCTACTGATGTGGCAAAATGATTGCAGCTTGTTATGCCTGATAACATATATATTACACATTTGTTCTAGTTACAATGAAGGATGTGATAAATTTGTTTAGCATTTCTCCCTCAGATCCCCAGCAGACATAATCCAATGTCATCTAAATGTACCCCAACGAAAATATACTCGAGAGCTGCTCATTTCCATACTTTGAGGCCAGAACTTTGGCTACTGCTTCATTTATCTGTAGTTAGGAGCAACATTTTGGATTATCTTGTCAAATTAATTTGCCCATTAGTTGATTAGAAACTTGGCAAAACCCAGATTGAGATTCCCTAAAGTATTTTATGAACTTTGACATTTGTATCATCGTCTTGGTGATCAAGCTGTAAAGTTAATTATAAAATTATGTAAATCCAGTGTGTAAGGCTACAGTATATGTTTGCAGATGGTTCTGGTCACCAAAAATGTTCTCATAAGTGATTCCATTGAAGCAGTGATTTGGTTCATTCATTTGTATGCACACAGTACCCAAGATGTTAGTGTAGTATCTGGGGTTGGGGCGTGTGCGTAAGCTAGCATCCTCACTTTATCATCAAACTCCCTTTTCACTTTTGCCTTCCCACCAGGTACAGTACTCCCATTTCAAGGCTCAGATATGCCACTGCAAGCCAAATAATTATTTTAGCAAACTTGCATTGTGGTTTATGTATCTTGTGGAAAAATACTTAAAGTATTAAATGATAAAATGTCTTCATCAGAGCATCTATTGAAAGTTCTTGCTAAACTATTATTGTAACTCTAATGCATGTCTTGTATTCGCATTTAATATTAAGGGAATTGCTAAATTATGACATGCTTTACATAATGAATGAAAGAAATGAAAGTTTAACAGCATTGAATGTCATCAACATAGTCAAGAATGGTGACATTAGGAAAAGTACTTGACATACGACTGTGTTTTGCACAGGTGGGCACACAATTATACATGTAGATTTTTTGCATTCTATAAAAAATCATGATTTGTTGAGTATGTCTCGCAGATATGAAGATGCTGAAGGTCACATTCTATTGGAGATCATCAGGGCCATAGCCAGGATTTGTTTGTGGGATATTTGGGGGGATTGGAAGGAGGTGCCAAAAACCCCTTAAGGGAAAAAGCCTGATGGATTACAGCTTTAATATTGTATATAGGGGGTTGTCAGTTTTTCAATAGATTACTGGTTAATAATAATATGTAAAGATTTTAAATTCCCTTTTAAGTTTTATTACAGAAAACAACCAATTTTATACTCAGTACATTTTTGACTGTTTTAAAAATGTGGTGGTGGGCGTGTGTATAGACCCATTACAACACCTGGAAATTGGCCTGTTTGTCAGTATAATAATTTTTCTTGAAACTTAAATCATCAATTATTCAGGAAAATGATTTAGGACACTACAGACATAGTAAATTCCTGTCAGTGGTACCAAGAATTTAGAATTACGTAACTGTTTGTAGAGGTCACAGATGTGCATTTTTGTTTTTTGTTTTGTAGGATAGCACAAAGGCGAATATTAACAGATTTGAGGGAAGTGACAGTATATCAAGCGATGATTTCTTTCACGGTGGATCAAGTAATCGTCGAAGAGATCCAGTTGGACCGGATATGGGAGCTGTTAAAGACAGCATGAAAGAAGGAGTTACACAAGTTGCTGGAAAACTATCCAAAATGGCCAATGGACTAATGACCTCTATTCAGGTAATTTAGTTCATGCAGTGATTTTATATATTTTATTTAACATTCAACAAGAAATCTTTCTTTTGGTAGTTATTCTATTTACTCTGCTTTAGAGATCTCCCTTCTAGTCTATTTCTTACAGGTTTTTTTTTTTTCTTTATCTATGAAGTACACACTGTAGCATAGTTATTATCTGTTATCTTCTGTTGCCCTTCTGTGTGTGCAAACTGCAAAGTTGGGTTTGCACAGTATTTGGGGTTGAAGCTCCTAATTTTGAGATTGGAGTTAAAATCCAAAAGTTGTTCATTGCCTGCAAGGAATTTTACATTTGGCTTTTTCAATCCAGTAGTATAAATAGATATCTAATACAATAGTTATCACTATAACAACTCCCTGGTTATTCTTAAGGCTATTACCACCATTATTATTTCCTATGCATGTAATGCAATAGGAACTATTGTAATCACTCTTCACTGTTTTTCCTGTATGTAGTGTGTGTATGCGTGTGTGTGTAGACATTTATGCAAATGCACATGTGTCAATGAAAAGTTTTCCGACATTTTGTTTTACCTCGCGATGCAAAGTTCGATTTTCGAAGTTTCTGCCGTGTTCAGTTAGGGCTCATGCTAACAGATCGGCAAGTCGGCATGGATGAAACAATTTTGGTTTTGCGGCAAAAAAAATCAACTGCTGTAGGCATAGGAATTTTGAAGAAGGCCGAAAAAATTTAAAAAAAAGGTTTTAATACTTGCTGAAATACATCGTTTTTTTCATTTAGATCTCCATTTTTCGCTACCTCCATGCAACGTTTTTTTTCTGTTGTATGAGTAGTCATATGAAGGTATTATATCCCCGACAGTTGGCTATGCAGCAGTGTACCCTTTGAATGCAAACTGAAGACAAGTGAAGATATAAAGGCAGCCGACTGTCGGGTACATAACGACTATCTAGCTTAGGCTTTCCACAAAAGCATGAGGCCTAAGCTAGGCCTAGTTTAGTACAGTAGTTGCTGCGATAAAAGGGTGGTAGATTGTTTAATCCATGATATCGTGTTATCGTCTAATACATTTAAATAATGTGTGTAAAATTTAAGAATGTACCGCGTGAGTCGCCTTCTTTGTTATGCGGTAGTATACGTAGCAGAGTGACGGCAGCAAGGCTAGGCCTTCGTTCTTGATCATCATGATGAAAACTTTGGGTGACAGATGATTGGGCCCAACTGGTGTGGACGATCGGGCCCAAGCTATTTTCAAATAAATTGTAGTTTAGTAGGCCACTGCCAGCTCCCCCACTCCCGATATAGTTACAAACTTCTGTAAAATGAAAATGCTGTATACCTAGCCCTAGGCCTACGAAATTTGCTAAAAATATTACTGTAATTTGCCTATCAAATTACATTACCAATGTGGTCTAAAATCACTATTTTAGGCCATAAAGACTCCCCCTGAATTTTTCAACCACCACACAAATTTGACCCAACCATATTTTCTGATTATGTCATTTATGATGACTTAATCAGAAAATATGGTTGGTAAGTCATTTATCATGCATAGAAACATTGGCGCCTGCAAGGCTCTGATTATTGTTGTACAAGGCTATTGTTGTTAGAAATCTTGATAAAAAAAAAAAGCAGTGCAGGTTAGTATACTTACTAAATATAGTTCAACACTATAAATTATGATTTCAATGTATTAAAAATGAAAGAAATTTGGTTAGTGCCTGAAGCAGCAAAATGATAATTTAAACATGTTTGAGGTTGCATGCATGTTAATGCATGCAATGTAGACATGGTGTTGCAGATAATGGGTATTATATGTTAAATAAATTATGCACCAACTGGAAATTAAATATTAAAATTCAAATATGAATCTGAAATAATTAAGTACAAGAATAAAAGTAAAGTTGGTTGTTTTTTATTTCCTCAATTGAGCTAGGCATTTTCAATATTAATATTGAGCATGTGATTATACTGCAGAAACTAGGTCAAACTTACTCTAAACATGGTCCGTTATCGGACAATGTGCTATCCGTTGTTGGTCATTTGTCAAAATGTAGGACCAATACCGCTGTTAAAACTACATTCACACTGTACTTGTCATAGCTGTCAATTGAAATGAACTACTGTATGAACCTTAACATTCCATTTCACAGAAAAATTCCACTACCACTGCATAGAGTACATCTGCGCAAGCACAGTATATTAACAATTGTTATGTGTTTGTTGCTTGTGTTGTGGTCTCTATTCTTATTATACTCATTGCTGATAGAGGTTTCAGCAAATACTCTAATTCTTATGCAACTTTACTGGCTGCCAGGAAAACTCAAGATTCATTACAAAATCGTACTTACTGCTCACTTGGTTCTTAATTACCTCCTGCGTATGATTCTGATCGATTATCACAATATAAACCATCAAGAACCTGCAATCATTATCTCAAGTCTTCCTAACAAAACACAAAGTGTGGAATTTACTGCCTATTTTTACTGTATCAGACCTGCAAAATTTGTTATAACATTCAAGTCCAGACAAAGAAAACACCTGTTGGCCAGATTTTGTTTTGTTCTGTTCTGTTTCTCTTTAAATTTTTTCTTACTTATTTCTACATTATCCTGCATGGTTCTGGTACCATTAGCACACTTAAGTAGACACCAATATTGTAATTGGTTATTGGTATCAGCCCACTTTTCCAAAGGAATACAGCATTATAAATGTACAGTAGCAGTGCCAGCCATGTAGCATTGTGATCTTACATCACAAGCTTGCTTAACTTAACAGTGCAATTTCAAATTGGTACATGCTTTAAATAATATGCGCAAAACAGTGTGAATTGTAGAAAAATCTGCCAATAAACGATGCTTTGGAAGTATGGAAACAGCTGTAGATCATCGTTGTTGCTATTTTAGATGTTAAAACCTGTTAACCAATTGCAGGCAGTTCTCTAAAAGTAAATATGATATTGTTTATTTGATATATGTTTTACTTGTATTATCTAGTTAACTCTAGTGATGTATGTAATTGAAAGATGGTGATAAAATGATTAATGTGTTTAAAGAATGCAGTGAATCATTTTAAGAGATACTTGTTTACCTGGTTGCTTACTCTGTTTTATGTTTTACACTCATTATTGTTTTCATTTATTTTTGTCTGTTTTAGGTTATTAGATTTCTTGTAAATTTTTATTAAGAATAATAAAGAAAAATAAACAAAAAATATGAGATAGCATTAAATTAAATTAAAATATAATTGTAAACATAAAGTATACCTAATTACTATACAAAAACTAATGTCTTTCTAAAATAAATACAGGAAATGCTTGTTACATTAGCAATAGGAAGATGATCGTCTCCGCTGTTCAATGTGTATGCTTTTGTATCTGGTGTGTTTTTGTACTTTATATTACTCTCTGTGATATGAAAATTGAAATTTTTGACAGTAATTGAATCTTAGTGCTACAGTTCAATCATTTTGGAACGAGACCCCAGTGTAGCAGTCGTTAACTGATTGTGGCCACCTAGGACCCACATACAGCAGTGATAGTCAAGCCAGTATTTTGTGTGTTCTTTTGGTGAATTTCCAGCTTGCAGGGCACTGAATATTGAATGCATCTGAAGTATATTTTGTTAGTTGAACGTAGGCTAACTAATCTGTCACTAACACCTCACCCGTTGAATAAAATCCAATTTGTGGTCAATTTTTTGCATGAGTGCTGCAGGGACCTTCCGTGTCACAGATACTAATAACAAACCATTTTTCTTTTCTTCTTTTAGGCTTCATGTCTGTCTCTATAGACTCTTTAGATCACCATGTATAATTAATAAGCAAATTTATTATTTTTTATTTCCCTTAATTGACACATATCAATAGTCCAACTGCAACAACTATTTTTTTGTGTAGATGTTTTTAGCGTGCAAACATGACATTTTCTCTGAATCTGAATATGTAAGTCATGAATTTAAATCAACTCCTACACCTGTCCTGGCCTATAGGGTATAAAATCATATGGGTATTGCATTACTAATGGATTGAGAGAAGGCTGTGTAGCAGACATGAAGACGAAATTAGTCTTATACCCATCATTACAGCACCGATGTATCATTCCTTCACTTACCTGCTCTAAAAGACTCTCTCGACACTCATTCTAAAATTTGCATGCATGCTTCTTGATCAGTTAAGTGCTGTAGCAAATATCAAGACAAATAAAAACACGCTCTGTTTGCATAATTTATTAAGTTGATCACAGGTTTCGATGTTCAATATGAAAGCATAGTAACTGTTTTATTGCCTTTCAGGACAAGTACGGGTACTGAGAGCTGTCACACAGCGAGTGGGTGTAGTGTTTATCAGTTCTACTTCTGTGGTGGAATTTGGATCGGAACTTGCCAAGTGCATATTTGTATAAAAGATATTATGTGAATTGAAGGACATACATTGATCATAATTCAGCATTACAGTCAGTGATCATATCAGTATAAACTTATTTAGAGCTACTGGATGAATGTGATCGATACCAATGAGTTTGTGTACAGTGCCGGACAGTGTAATCAAACCAATGCGTTTTTACAGTGTTACTGGATAATGTGGTCAGATGTATGCCATTTTGTACAATGTCATTTAAATACGGATATGGTCATACAACACAGTAGCATTGTTTAATATGATTAAAGCTGGTCAGTGGCTGCGTCGTTCAACAGTCATACAACATTCGAATGACAAATCCAACTTAGGTCCCTGTGAGCGTTAGACGACGAAACAGTCTGTTTATTTCAGTGGCAGTTTAAATGGATTGTCATTAAAAATGATCTGTTTCATTCGCTAGATGATATGCACACAATACTGAGTACAATGATGTTACAAACTCATTTATATATTGTCACTAGATTATATTCAAACCAGTGGGTTTATATGGATAATGTGATCAAATCACTTATACCTTGTCACTAGATATGTTCAAACCAGTGAGTTTGTGCAGTGTCACTGGATAATGTGATCAAATCATTTATATATTGTCACTAGATTGTGATCAAACCAGTGAGTTTATATAGTGTCACTGAATAATTTGATTAAATCACTTATACATTGGATAATGTGATCAAATCATTATCTACATGATGTGATCAAATCATTTATACAGTGTTACTAGATATCTTCAAACCAGTGAGTTGTGCAATGTCACAATTTACATACATTGTATACAGCAAACAATAGATTTCTTTGCTTGGAATAGTCTATCAAATAATATATTAAAAAGTAAATGCCATTGTCAAAGTATAATAATTTTATTTGAAACATTTAAATTTAAGGTGATGTTTTTCAAAATGTTAGAAGTCACATTTTATTATTTTTTTAATTATTTATTTTCAAAACTATATTTTATATGGAAAAAGCCTTCCATTTCAGTTAACATCCGTCAAAATCAGAAATTTTTCTCTACAGTTTAAAAAAACTCCACTCACCAAACCTCATAAGACAGTTTATGGAACATCCATTCTAAAAGTCACTGCTGAAGATGATTATAATAGAATATGTTTAATAAATACTTCCACCTATTTATAAGATAAAATTGAAAATTAAAAAAAAATATTGAGTTTCTTTATTTGTATTTGAATAAATTATTAGCTTTTAACTTGGAAATGTAGAATTAAATAAATCCATCACTAATTATTTCTTCCACCAAACAAAACTTAGGTCAATTTCTGATACTAATGCATTCAAGACCCTCCTTAAAACTTATCTCTTTATTATCAATACAGGTACCGGTAATTCTTATATCTTTAAGCACCAGTGACAAATTATATTTTTCTTACAGGCACTGTACAATTTCTCCAATTTATTATTATTAATATTGATTAGCAGCATTTCAGTGGTCTGCATATACCCTAAATTTGCTGGCAGAAAATTTGCAGATTTGTGTACTAAACAGAATTTTTGATTTGTGACTTAAAAGTTAATAATGTATCAATAACATAAAATTTGAAAATCTGTTAATAGAATAATATAAAGATGTTTATTAATATTCATAATGAAAATAATAGTCATGTAACTCTATTTTTCTTGCAAATACACTTTGATTTTTTTTATTTCATCAATTACAAAAAAATATATTGCTTTTTTATTAATTTATTATTTATTTTAAATCAGTTGCTAGCCATGTGTTTGTTAAAGAGAATGTATTATACATGACACAGCATTTCAGTAGCAATATTGTATGGAGAAATGTACAATTATGAACTTAATTGTGATTAAGAATTTGGAATGCTGACATTTTCAGTATATTCACCAGGAATAGCTTTTGGACACTGCCACTTTTCATAATTTACTTTATTCTCACAGGAAACAACATTTCTAAACATCAATTTATAGAAATAAAATTAGAGATATTTGAGTATGATGTTAATTTGGCAGATATTAAAACAAAATTTCACTTATGGTGTAATGTAATCCATAGTTTTTATATTCTATTTTATTTATTTTTTATTTTAGTGTATTATATATATTTTGAATTCATAGAAATTATTTTTTAAATTGATTTGATGATATTTTAGGCATATATTGCACTTATTTAATTATTGTTGGCTAGCAGTAATTAATTTAGACCATTCATGTTTTTTCAACCAAAAAAAGTATTTGATTGTTGATATCCTAAGTTGGCATGCTTCAGACATTTCATATAAAATATATCCCAGTCTTGTGGCATAAAATCCATTAATTATTTTGCTTAATTTATCTCTTTCTTTATTAAGGTATTATGGTTTTCTGTATTATGATTAAAAATTATTGAAATTGAATAGAAGCAATCTTGTGTTAATTGCTTTATAGAATGCAGTCTACGATATCATCCATTCACATTTTTTAAAACTAGTACACTTTTCACATATGAAAGTACAAAACTCTCTTGCTAATCGACTTAGGTCCCGGTTGACCACTACTCAGACGAAAACATTTAATGGGGGCATAATACATTCCAAAATGTCTTAATGTCCCAAAATTTCCGAGTTTGTCTTGGTGTCAGGGACTCTGATCTGTAGTCACCAAAAATTTAACTACTCTGCCCTTTTAATGACAGTTATCTAAAGTAACTATTATCAGAAACAATTTTTCTACCCATGTAGATACATTATATTAAATAAAGTATTTTAATTGTAAGCTTTTTTAACTGTATTAATTTAAATAATTGTCAATATCAAATTAATTAGGACTTTACTACCTATTTAATGTGATATTTCATGGATTTTGTTTATTTGAAATGTAATGTCGTTGTGTCAGGGTTCCCAAGTTGGAAGAGATCTGGCTAAATTACCTTTCTTAACACATCTAACTTTAATTTGCTGCGCATGGTGACACCTATCACCAGGTTTTTGCTTACTTGAGGGAGTGGGGGAAGATGTCTCGATTTCTGGGATTCTCTTACGATTTGCGTGGAACTTACGACCCCTGTTGTGTGATGGATGATTTGTACATGCCAGTGATTTATTTGGTTATGCTATTAGTGTAAAAATAACGCAAATTTTTCTACACATAAAAGAATAATGCATTTTGAATAACAACAAAATAAGATTATAAACAAAACATGAAATGCACTTTATTTGCCTTAGGTTAGAATACATCATAGAGGCTTGGCTACCATCACCTTCAACAGGTTGTGGAATAGGTCAATGCAGATATAGTATCTGCAGGAAAAGAAAGGTTATAGTTCAATGCAGATACAACACATCAAGTCATGCTGGATTCATTGTTACAATCTATTGCCATCATGTTTCCATTGTGGGTTGGTGGAGCAGTCACATTTTACTGTTCCCTAAAGGAACCTCTATAATATTCTGATAATGATGATGGCTCTCTATATATGGTATTTATAAAATTTAAATATTAATAAGGTAAGATATGAAAGATGAATAGTTCAGACAAATTTCAAAACCAGTTACAGAATATCATATACAGTACATAAATAGGTTCCACGTTAAAACAAATGCACCTTACAAGTAATTAATGATATAATATTAGCCATAGTAGCTATATTTCTATTCAAACAGTTTAGAATAGTTTTATGTAATCTGCGAACACAGTTTAATGAATAATCTGTAAGGTGTGTATTTTAAAACTTGGAATATGTGAAAATGTATGCAGTGTATTATGTATGTAATGCTTAACTTGTTTATACCAAAGAAACTTAATCATATCCCTACATATATTCAATTTGTATGTATACATTATTATGAATTAGAATGATTCTATTCTAAAGAAATATCACTTTTCTATTTAAATAATATTTATCCATTGATAAAGTAAAGTTTATATCACACAATAAAGCACACTTAATAGGCATAGAAAAAAAGCACACAACCTCATACCCACTTACCCTACCCCATCCCACCCCATCCATTACACACATCTCATGTTGAGATATGTCAATAAAAAAAAAATCTTTCCTCAATATAAAATGTTCACAATACCTCAACAGCAGTGGTAGTAGTAGTAGCTAGCAAACAACAAATTGCATCAAATTATCATTTTTTGCTTGTACATGTGTCCCAAAGGACTTCTGAAGCGCTTTATGACAACCATCTTTTATTATAACTGAAATTGAAACTTACCCTGCATGTGATGAATGTATTGCTAAGAAAAAAATAAGATATATTTACATGTCGATCATGCATGTATGATTTTCTAATGTAAAGCATTTTTTTAGGTTACAATTTAAATATTCATGCTTCAATTTAATAAGCAACAGTAGTATAAGTCCAAAACAATGTTGCCAAATTTGTATTTTATTATTATTTTTTTATCAATATATAAGTTAAAAACAAAGTTGGGTTTTCAGGGGAATTCTAATTATAATAAATTAAAAAGCAAGATTACTTTATTTACCTTTGTAAAAAGAATTCACAATTTTCTGTAGTGAGGAATCAGCTTAAAATATTGGTAGCCAGGATTAACATACAATTTTGATAAACACTGCTTAAACCAAGTTGGGGTTTTCAGCGGAATTCTCAGTATTTAAGAATGAATTAAGAAGCAAGATTACTTTACCTTTATAAAAACTTTCTGTAGTGAAAAATCAGCTTAAAATATTGGTAGCCAGTATTAACATAAAATGTTGAATAAACATTGCTTAAACATAAATGTTGCAAAAAACAATTTTGGTTGTCATTTAAGTTTTAAAAGAAAAAAGTCTGAAATTAACTGTTTATTTTACACATAGACAATACTGACAGGAATAATACCATGTATTATATTATTGTTTCCATATTTACTCATATTTTCAATAGATATAGGTCCTTTAGCAAATGTAAATATGTATTTTCATAGTGGATACAAACTTAAATAAGGCTCTTCGCGAAACTCATATTATCTTCTCGGTAAACTCTTTGGGTATGGTATATTATTTATATAAAAGATATTACATTAATAGCACCTTTAAAACCAATGTGCAATATCAATGTAAACAAAAAAAAAACCAAGTAGTATATATATATATATTTATACATATATATATATATATTTAACAATTGTATACAGTGTGCTATACTATTCTTATATTAATATAATATATTTCATATGAAGTATTATTGAATCTTGACAATAAGAATAATAATTGTAAGAAAAAAGCATTAATAACTGTTGATATGTATATAATTGTAGTACAGCCAGGTGGTAATCGAATGCCACACTTTAAAACACAACCTCTGTAAATATTGCATACAGTATTGAAGCGTAATGAAGCTTGTGTAGATAGTCTGTACATAAAACACTCCTAATGGGAATTACTGTCAACAACTAGATAATGGGAGCAATGTGCTCACACAATCTTTACCATTCACACTTCATAAGAAAAATGTGGATATTTAATATTTTTTAGGCAGATTTTAAGATGATTTCTAAAATTCAACATCTCATACACAATTGAAAGTTCGTAAACCAACTATAAATACATCATTAATCAGAACAAGTTAACTCAAGGCGTATGCCATACAAAAACGCAATTATTGATTACAGTAAAAGTTACACAAGACACAAAGTAGTGAAATGGAGTTCAAGTTGCATGGATTTTCAACTCCTTAATTCCAATATTAGAATTTCTCTGGAATCTAGGGCACCAAAGGCAGAAGATTTTGGATACAGGTTGGTCACGCAAAAGGGTACCAAAGATAAAAGACTTGGGGGGGTGCACTAAGTACACTAAAGTTACATGAAATGTTGAAATAATGATTTAATGAATATTTGATATCTTTTTAAACATGAATTATCCAATTACTGACAGCAGTTAATTATCCTTTGTAATTATTTGCTTGGTCACGCACTCACAAGATCTGTTCTGCATATTCTCTGCTCGTTAATCTTCAGTGTCTCTCTATAGATATACACTGGCATTGCATCCTTCTTTTAGGCTTGCAGACTAGCTATTCCAATCTGATACGTCCACTACCAAATCAATGTTACTTGTCCGTTTTTCGTTACAGTAGGCCTACAACATTAAGGAGACATTGCACAATCCTCATTGTTATTAATATTCCAAACTCTGCAATATATCATAATGCAATCAAACTTTACTGGTTTTTTTTCCCCCAATAAATATCATGTTTAACATTTCATCATCGCAGCATACAGCTCTATTATGACATGTCCTTAAGCAAGTGCCACTGAGCTATAGGTTGGCGTGCTTTAGCAAACATCTCGTTCCAGTGTTTCATTTCCAACGGAGATGTCTTGTGTCCTATCAGCACGCTTCCTATGATATCGTTTTTTGATATTCTATCTCTGTCAAGTACAGATATGATAAAGCTTGTATCCCGTATCTTGTCCAAGTTAACGTCAAATACAAATTCTTCGTTGAAGACGGGATTCAAGGTGCATTTTTTGACTGTTGTTTTCTTTTTCTCGACACGTTTTCCTTTGTACATATGCCAAATCTTTACATACGGATCTATGGTAAGACAGAAAATATCAAATTATTTTCAATATATAATATTGTATCCCAATGCTTGCTCAATAACATTTTTTTAGAACATTCTCTCAGTTTACAGTGATAATGTTTACATTGTAAAAAGGCAAGAATACTGTTACCTTTCTTACATGCTACTGACATTTAGTTTCCAGGGTTATGTTAATTCAATACTAGATACACAAATTTTAATAATCTTAGATACCTACAGTCCCAATCCCAACATGGCAGAATTATAAAGATCTAAGCAAATAATTGAGTAACTGTATGGTCATTATGTAAATTGTCATCATCCACAAGCCACATAGTGATGGGTGATCTTGGGTTATATGAACTAGCAAAATAATTAGATCAAACAAATTCTGCTGTAATGGCTAGCAAACTAAAATCTGAAGAAAATACCATTAGGACGTGTGCACTGAGTTTAATTAAAAATAGTATGAATGTCACTTCAAAAATTGACAAGGTCATTTAACAAGTACAGTTTGCAAATTTAGATGTCCATGAATGCAAATAATAAAAACAATAACAAGGAAGTATTGAGGAAACATGAAAGAAGGAAAGTTGAAAAGAGAATATGTGGGTTTAACCATAGCTGCAAAAGCAATAATTGCTTGAACTTTGAAGATTGAGATGCTGCAAGTAAATGAAAAATATAGAATATGTAGGCAGAACCGTGAGACGGTAAGGCAAATAGTAAGTGTATGTCAGATGTGTTTGTGCAGAAAGAATATAAAATGAGACATTATAATGTTCAGTTCAGTTTAGTTTTGTTCTTCCCACTGATGCCAGTCGCATCCAATAGGCAATCTGCTAGCATCCAAATATATGCTGGGTCCAACTGGGTTAGCTTTTTGGCAAGAGCAATACATTGGTGTCAGGAAACCGTGGGTTCAATAGAAGTGAATATTTGTATCAACATGCTGTTGTGAGACTTTAGTGCGAGATATGTAATTTCAGAAAGAAGACTTGATTTGGGAATGTCAAATAATAGATATACTGTATCTACTCCAGTAGAGTGGGTGAAAAAGAGAAAATGTTTTTAAAATACCAAGATCTTGCCAGAGAAATTAGAAAGCTATGGAAAGTAAAAATGAAAGTTGGTAGAAGTTGTTGTGGGATCCTTAGGAACAATAACACAGAGGGTACGAGATAAACTTAAGAGTATACTAATAGGTGTGGATGTAGAAGTCAGCATTGTTGGGGTCCGCACGGTTTTGGAGATGTAGTGGAAATAATACGAAGGATGACCATTGGTTTTCTTGATAATTTAATATTATCAGAAAGTTACTACAGACGTGGTACAGCGGAAGGTAAGACAGTCATGCTAGTTCTTAGAATGTATAGGAACAATTTTAATGATGAAAGGAATAAGTGTACTGCTTAATAAAGAGATTTAAACGATAGATAATGGATTTTGGAAATTGTAGATTGGGAACCAGTAAAACACACTACTGCTTCCTTATTTCAAACATAAGTAGTTTGTTCAAGTAAGAAGTAATGAGTTCATGAACAGTTGCACGTCAGGTCTACAAATTTTCTGATGTGGCTGATTTTATAAATTGCAACCTGGGAGGCACGGCACACAGAGTTGATGCGATTCTTCATGTGCATCGAGGAACACATCAAGGTTAGAGACATGCGAAGAAAGATCAATAACTATGTAACCAAGGCTGGTGGTTGAAATATTTTGTGTACCATTTTACATAACATGAAACCAACTAAGGGTGAATAGGTGGGTCTGTGGTACAGAGATAGTATGATATTACCATGTCTGCATAAAAAATGTTCATGCATTTAAAACACGGTGACATTTACAAGTTGGAATGTATATGATTAAACAAGATTGTTTCATTTCTCTCATGCTTATCCAAGTGCACAGATAGTTTTCACTTCAAATGAACCTTTGAACCCAAGAAGCCCTCTGGAGTCCTGTAAACTGCCAAAAAAGGATAAAAAATACATGTTCAGGGTGACAGGATTGATATTAAGTATTTGAGGCCGTACACTGAAAGTATCATTTCCTCAAGACATGCTTCAGTGACCGAATGAGAGCGTTGATGTCCACTTTGCCTTACTCGGATCGTGAGTTTTTAACATTTCTCAACAAGCCAATCAACATCAGCGATAAAGCAATTAGATACTTTTCTAACCTTCTACACCCGGTTGGGTAGAAGTTAGACTCATTTGCCATCATCTTCATCTTATTATACACATCAAATCTCAATCCAAATACTGCAACAATCCTTACCCAAAGTTCAAGAATCTTGATACACAATTTAACACCCATAAGAAGCTTTACCCATAATTCAATAATTCCAGATATTTACTATTCAACAATCTTGATAAATATTTTAACATACCCTACCCCATAATTCAACAGTCTGAGATACAAAACTATGCGTAATTCACCATTTTATAGGTAATGTAATCATAGCCACCCTGAAGTCTGTTAGAGTCATCTTATAGCATCATTTATTAATTGGTCACCATTTGGAAATTGATTTTGTCCCCTTGCTTATATTTAACAGGGATGAATAATGTAGCAAAGCTCACTATTTGAGACCCTTGTGATTATAACTAAAGCTTGGTCCAAATTATCACATTTTCTTTGATGAAAAACTGTTGTTTCCCATACAGTATATAATCATGATGTGCCTATATGTTATATGTCATGATGTGCCATATATTACAGTGTGTGGTCATGACATGATGTCATCATGACCATATTAAGGCATATCACATTTTTTATCAAATAAAATAGTCTGTACAAGGCTTTTTGTAAAGTATTTGAAGTATTTGACTTTCGGACTTGAAGGTGAGCACTTAACCACAATTCCACACCTCAACTCTTACAACTATCAACAATTTAAAACTTCATATTTATAGCTGTCTTTATCACTTCCTTCATTTTATTTATACAATAGATACATTATTATGTGCATAGATTATATGTACTGTACTGTAATATCATTATTAGCAGTGTTTACCATTATTAGCATCCTTGCCATTATAATAAGTGCACACAACATAAACATCGGTAATAAAAAATATTCAGTTTCGTAACGGCATTCAAAGTGGGCAGGTGTTAATATTAAATTATTTTCAGCCTGTTGTTCCATTAGCGCATCGTGTTATGTGCATGTGTAGGACATATAAGCAGCTAGGAATACCAACTACTATATCAAACAAGAAAAATGCTTTCACCTGATTTGCCAGTAAAATCTTTTGCTTGAAGGTTTCTGCATTTCATTACTACTATTGTGAGTTGTCCTTGTGAAGGTACATACATGATTGAAAATAGAATATCACCCAGTTTTCCCTGCAATCGCAAAAGAAAATATATCATAAAGAAAAATATAACATCTAGTGTTCCCTGCAACCAAAAACAGATTGGAAATACAATAGTTTGCCCTGCAATGACAAAATTTATATATCATGTGAAACAAAATACATTTCCAATTTAGCCTGTAATCAAAACAAGTATTGTTAAATACAGAAATTATGATATAATGATGTTGTTTATTCTATGCAATAGTGCTTTTTAATTATAATATAAACATAATATCCATAGCAACAAATAATTGTTTATTATTATCATTTTAAAAATGAATTTAAAAATAACCTAGAATATCAGTATATGAAAAATTTGCTTCTTTTTAATTTATGTACGTTTGCTTTGTCAAGCCTTCAAATTTCTACATAGTCTCAAGGGTTGACTGCTGCCCAGGTCCATCCTAGAAAAATATTATGAATAAATAAATAAATTTTAATATAATTACAAAAAGTATCTTTTTATGCCAGCATGAAAATTAATATGACATTTGAAGCTATTATTTATAGCTAGGGAGCCAGAAATAAACAATAATACTTGCTTTCTTCCTGCCTTTATGGAGTCATGTTTATGAAACAGTGTGTGTTCATATTATCTTCATGTTTTTTGATGGCTGATCTGATGAGCTTTATGGATATCTCTATGACAACTAAGATAATTGAACTAATTGCCTTGTAAATATGTGCATATGGAGCGTTCCCATCTGAGGCTCCAGCTTATGCAGGGTTACGCACACAATTATCACATAATACTGTACATAATTAGAAAATTAACAATGAAGACAATCCGCTCATTACCTTCATATTGTTTTGCCCACGTCTCTAACCAGATTGTAGTTTAGAAAATTTAACGTAACTAAAAACAAGTGCAATAAACTGCTATAAGGGATTAGAGTGCGTAAAAACGGAACAAATTTTAATGATCAATAACGGCATTGAATTTCTTATTGACAGCAGCACAAACATAATCATGCTCCACACATATTTAAAAATGCATACAAATTATATATTTATATTTATATTACAAACTTAAAACATTGTGCCCAATTCTTGTAGAAATTAATATCTATTAGCAATCAGTCAGGACATTGTCATTTTCATTTCCACATAATTTTCCTATCCCCAAGCAGAAACTTATTCGATGACTGTCTGGTATTTTTTGCCTCTCATGTTTGTTTCTCTTTGTGAAGATATGGATATATTTCACTGCTAGGCCAAGCTCTGAAGGCACACAATAAACCTTACAAATCTCGCTCTACAGCGTTGGTAAACACAAATAAAGCCTAGACCACCTGGGCTAGGCTGAGAAAAGCACATAATTTTGTGGTAACTAGACTTGTAAAAAAACTAACAAAAGGCAATGCTGAAAATATTCATCATAATCTTTATACTAAATTTTTATCTCACAAATGTTACCAGGATGTTAGTCCTACCTAATAATAAGTCCTACCTAATAATAACCTCAAGTTCATCAACCACAATAAATTTAATCACAGTATTGAAGAGTGTCAGTGCGCATAGTAGCAAATTAGTCTCATATACGCGCAGCTAATGCACACACATAGTTAATGTATTTATCATATCACTGGCAAATGGTCACTGCTACAGCAGTTTGATTAATATATCATATAAAGTAACTGACTTATGAAGCACTATATTGCCAAGTTATTTTGGACACTATAGACAATAGAAGCCTTAGGGAGCCATTATTAATGGCTCTTTCAGCTTCTATTGTCTTAATGTCCGATTAATTTAAGAATACTGTTTTTCAATTTTATCATTATAAAATATCTTATAATAATAATTACAGGTTTCCCTCCAATTAAAGAGCACTTTTGGGACAAGAGTTTGCTGGTGTTTAGTAGCTTTGGTATCAAATAGATAAAGGATAGGTGTTTATTTGGGGCTGCTGAAATGTCTCTAATTGGAGGGGTCTTTAATTTGAGGGAAACCTGTATTACTATATAAATTTCTACACTGAATTCCACTTACTGCTGATTTTTTGCTTGGTAAGAGAGACTTCCAATATGTTGTTTCTTTGGCAAGCTCAACATCACACAACGGTATATTCACTTCCCCTATTGCATCATTTCTACTGAATTTATCATAGTCCAGTACTTGTAGATGCAGAATACGTTCTTGTAATTTGTTATATGGAAAACCTGAAAGGAAAAATGTATATTCTGATGCACACTGGATTACACACAATTTATTCTTAGACATAAAAAATTGTTTATTTATTCTGGTAGAAACATGCGCCTAGCGATGTTTAGCCTTGATGGCCAGAATATGGTAATTACGGTATATAAAAAATAATATAAAAATATGTATGATAACAATAAGCCAGATTAATTACAAATCAGCATTATTAGCATATAAATGAAATTGAATGTTAAATGTAATCCAATTTAAATGAATAAAATCGATTTAAGAAAAATTTCCCAAAACTGATTACTATCCTTATTAAAGATAAAATATCAAATAATATATTAAGAATGACAATTTTGACTTTCCAACTGTAGGTTTTAATCGTTATCTATTCTGTATCTCTCTATTATTTGAACAAAATTCTGAAAATTCCCTTGAGAGCAGCCCCTATTATTGCTGGCAGGTATCTCAAAGCCAGTGCCCCTCAGGCATATTAATATAATGAGGGAATGATAGCTTATTAATTTCAATTAATTTCATATTCCAAGACTCATTATAATACTAAATGCCAATATTATAAATCTATAACCTTCTATTATTCCTTACTTCACACAGAAATGTTCTTTAAATGATAAAAAAAAAATATTATTCATATTATCATCATTATTTAGATTTCAACAGCTTTTACTCAGAGTTAGTTTATGAGTTTAAAAATGCATTTCTTATGGTGTTTTGGCAATTTTCAATCCCTATTATTATTAATTATTGCTTTGTACCATTTACAGATAAGGATATCTGGGAGCAAGAAATATTTGTTGTCATCATAATTTAATGATGGTAATATGGAAAAGTAATTCGGCTGTCAATGACGTATACCAATCCTTTCAAATATTTTTTAATTGAATGTGGGAAAAATCCTGGGCTGAACATACTGCAGCAAATTATGGATTATATGATAAGATGCAATTGATGGTAATAATCCAAATATTTTTGTAAAATCTGCATATTGTAAATCATATACTGGTGTCCGAGTCAGAGATTCCTAGACAAGGCGTCAAAGGTCCCTGTCAGAAGATCAACACTCACCTCAACCCCACCAAGTGTTGTAGCAAAATGGGAGAATAGGCACCTCCATATGGCCGAAAATGGCAGTCTAAAACCGTAAAAATGCTATTTTAAAGCAGTATTCCATTGACAAAGGATTGGCCTACTTGTCTGGCAGGGGGCCGGATCAAGGGGATGCCTAAAGCATAGGCCAGGGTTCCAGAGTAAAATCAATATTGGGCGTTGATGGTGAGAGATTTTATGGCTTAAGCTGAGCACACACTGCGTCTGTACATGTGCGTCGTTGTGTTGCATTCTTCGTAGAAATGCGTCGGCTGAAGACCGTCGGACTTAGTGAGTGCCCGGCTTAGATGACCTAAACCTGTGCTTTTCAACCACAATACTGTATTAAGAATTGGCAATCAGATAGTCTTAAGTTCCGACGAGCTTGTCGTAGCATTGGACAATGGGGGGGAGGGGGAGGTGGGGTCCATGCTTATCCAGTGGGTAAGGGAATTAAAAAGTTACACCTAAAATAAGTATTATTTACCTTCAAATAGGAATGTCTCATGCCATGTGGGATTTAGTTTCTTCTTCTTCACCTTTGTTTCCATCTTACTCTTTTTATTTGGAAGTAATAGAATTTTGACAAAAGGATCACTGGTCCCACTGTGAAAAATCATAGCCATGAATGATAAATAAACAATTAATATTCTCTATACACTATTTACTATAATGATAAAAAATATTGTATTTTGCATTGAAAACTCATAATCTACATTTTCAGTGAATAACAAATAAACAATCATATTTCTCTCTATAAACTATTTATTATAATGATAATAATATTGTATTTTATTGTGGAAATTTATCATAATTATACATTTTTCATAAATAAAAATAAAAAATAAATTTTCCCTATTAACTATTTACTATAATGATAATATTTTTTTCTGTTACAAAAAGTCAATTATATATTTGCCATGAATAATAAACAATCAGTTCTCTCTATATATACGGTAATGATAAAAATATTGTATTCTTTCAAAATAAAATCAGTATTATTTTTAACAATCGAAGATTTATATACTCATAATAACTTAAAAAAACCCCCAGTTTTATTACATTTTTTCAACTATTTAAAAATGTAATAATTATATGTTAAATTTTATTGTGAATGTTTAAGGGAAGATATTTTTTTTAAATATGATGCTGAACATCATCAATTATGGATTCTATCAAATGTAGAATAATTTATGTAGCACATACTTTAAGCCCCACATATCAATAATAACCATTAATATACAATGATAAACCATTACTCCATGAATAAACCCTCACAATTTCATTAAAACACTAGCTTATTTCAAGCCTACCCTGTCTATTGACCACCTCCATGACTAAGCTCAACACTATGAATTTATGATCAATTTTATTCAGGATTGCAGTCTCTAAATTGTGAGGTATTATCAGCCTTCAGTTGTTTTTTTTCTTTTCTTTTTAATAATTAAAATGTCAATGATGTCCATTGTCATACTCATCACGTTTGAATTTTTTATGAATAATTTTATACATTTTTATCGAAGACTAAATAGAAGATTTAAAATATTAGCCAATATGCTTTTGTCATTTGGTAATTTTGCTATGCTTCACATTATCATATTTTGGTAAATCACTGTTTAAAAATGTTTTAATAACATTTTTGATGAAGGTTAAATCAATTGTTGGGATTGATTAGTAATAAAAATATGAATGATATCGAAGCTGATCAAGTTTCAAGTGTTCATAAATAATGCATAAATGTTTATTTAAATGAGTATATAATACATGTACAGATACTTTTTAATAATTTATATTTATTTATAACACACACACTCATCCAGACACGTTAAAATTAAATATAAAACTATGCCTGGAATAAGAGTAATCATTTCTGTTAATCAAATCTAAGGAGCATTAGAAAAAAAAAACCATCCATGTGCAGGAAACATTAATATTATACTATAAATTTTAAAGAGAACACCTTGGTAGTTGTTCTTTTAGATTTTACTTAAAGATTAGATGCAGTTCAGTTAACTGGCGACATGAGGTGGAAAATGACCAACCACATATCTGTTGAGCCAAGTTAAAAAATGAATATTATATATTTCCATAAAAAATATGCCTTTTATTTCAAATTAAGTAGTAGAAATGAGTGTTAGCCACTTGAGCACTGGCTTAAACAGATAAAATAGTCTTCTTTGGGTTACTTAGCCAATTTTTTTTTCTCTCATTACAAAGCCTCAAAATATAATCTCAATATTAATAACTATTTGCAATTTTTACCATTTGACCCTAAGGTCAAAGACAGAATACTATATTTAGATTAATTCATTTTATGGGTCTTATGAATATTAATTTCAAATGGCACAAATTCAGCCAACTGTAAAACATTGCTACAAAAACGATATCAGGATTAAATTAAGTAACACCAGTAGTTGAAAACACTGGCATACCTGTATGTATATACTGTTTGGTCTATTAACGCACCCATCACAACAAAAATGTCAAATTTTCTTACGAAATCTCATGAAAAAATTAATAATGCATTTAATCAGTCCATTTACTGAACAGTATACATCATCACAAATACAATAGGATACCTAGCAATTGCCTAGGGGCACCCTCAATTAATTTTTACCTTTAACACTCACATTTTTTTTTATTCATCAATAAAATATTACTAAATCAAACAGGCAAAAATGTTTATTCTAGGCTCCAAGTACGACTGTTTTGCTCTAGCAGAAATGAGAGGAAGTTGATCACGATATGGGCGAAATAACATTATATTCCTCTAGACCACTGGCATAGTCAAGGTTTTACTAGAAATCTCCAATATTGAACCAAGTGGGAACACAAACAAATTTGGCATTTGTAGTATTTCAGAGTCATTCAAATTCAAATTCAAATTTATTGTCCAAAAAGGAAATTACATTGAGAGAAAGTCATTGCTCAAAAATTACACAATTACAGTTTAATAAAAAAAAAAAAAAAAAATCAATATAAAAATACAGAATTATAAAGTTAATAAAATACATGCAAATTAACACATTAGAAATATCAAATAAATACATTATATACAACAAAATTTACATTGTAGAAAAATTAGGATGTTAAATTACATTATTAATTGATTGCACAAAGAACCCGAAAAAACTGTTAATAAAAATTGCAATATAAAAATATAATACTGTATAGTATAAAAATAAATAGTCAATGTAAAATTGTATTATTGTGTAAACTGGGCATTGCTCAAATTAAAATGGGACCATTCAATTGCCAACTGCTACGGTTTTCTGTTGCTAATGTTGTTATAGTTTCTGATGGAGTTATGATATCTCTTGGTTTTACACAAAATAGACCTCAACCTTTTTCCTGAAGGCAACCAATTGTAATATTAATATTAATATTAACTATCAGGTACCTCTCATAATGCAGGAGAGCACGTTTCTGATAAAATGGAGATCGCCTACTTCCCCCCTGCCATCTCCTACGATTTTGAATGCTTACACATTGGCAATGAGTTATACCTATTAGGCTAGTCAAATATAATGGATCTTCAAGTAGATAAATAGACAGGAAATCTATCAATACCAACAAATTAACCTGTTCAGGGAAGGGTTTCATGAACCTAATTTTAAAATTAGCTAGTCGAAGTGATGCTTTATAATTTTCTGACTACATTTTTTTTCTGGGGATAAAACTGACCTGGCCCACTTCCAGATATCTAATAAAAAAAATCACCATCTTAAAAAAATGATCTATAGAATATATTAAAAATATTGAACATGACAATATATACAATCAGCACTATAATGAATTGCACTGAATTTAAGTACTTGTCTTATGTATACAATAACAAGAGTACAATTCAAATTATCATTGTTAAATTTACAATCAAATTCCAACCATCTTAAAAAAATCCATTACACTATTTTAAAAGGTAGACCATACATAAATGATTACACATAAAAAATATGCGGTCAGATACTAACAAAAATGCACTAGATTGAAGTTGCATTTTAGAAAGGCAAGTACAATTATCACCATTTTGATATATTTAGAATAAAATATAAATTCATAAACAAAAAAGACCTAATTTAAATCAAGATAGACTTTAAAATACCTATTTTGATTTAAAATACATTAAATATATGTTTAAAAATCATAAAATTATGTAGTTGTAATTTATAAAATATATACAATAAAAATTAAATCATTGAATTTATAGACATACTAGAAAATAAACAAAAATAAAAACTTAAAAACACATTGTAAATAAATAATTTACTACTACTCCTATTAAATAACAATAACAATAATAACTAATAATAATAATAATACGGTAATAATAGTTCTTTATTGGAATTTATTTATTTAAATTGGAAATTCGGGCTAGGGCTCGTGGCAGCCGCAGTGCAGTGCCACTCGACTGAACTACAATATATAACAGACACATACAGATACAAACATTGTCCTTAACCCACCTAACTCCCAATATGAGGGGTATTCGAGGAGCGATGAGATCCAATTACAACCCGACGCTGGCCAGGTTTGAACCGGGGTCTTTACAAGAAGCGGGAACATCGCCTCTCAGCCAACTGCTCAGCTCAAGTACTTATAGTCAACATTCAAGCAGTCGCGTATCTGGGGAGGGGGTGCGCGGGAGGCACACACCCCTCCAAAAAATACTCCTTCCCCCAGTCTCCCCCCAAAATCACAGTCAAATTATTAAAAATCACCTAAAATCACCTTATTTTGCGAATTAGTGCCCCTCAACAGATCATCGAGCCCCTCCCCCACTTCACCTTTGCGACCCCCCCCATCAGCACCCCCATTTCAAGACTTCTAGATACGCCACTACATTCAAGTAAATGAAGATAGTACCAATGTTATCAGTGCAATCATTGTACTATGTAGCAGTCCACGATGAAATCGCAAAGGCTTCCCGACTCAATCAGCATCACCGAAAGCTGTCAGCAATAGCGTGTAGCAATTGTATGGAAACAAGCTTTAGGTGGTATACATTTTAGGCACACAACATTTTAAAATGCTGACTTGTATTCACTTTTTAAAGCTGAATCCACAAAAAATAAATGCCTTACCTAAGATCTTTTGCGGGAAGATCCTGGGCACGGATTATCTTCAAGATCAGTGTTTGTTCCGTGAAGTTGTAATGAAGGGAAAATTGTATTCTTCCAAGACTTTCTTCTTGGTCTTCCATCAATACCAAGTCTTGATCCTTTTAATTAACAAAATATATAATATTTATACATCATTCTTCTGATGAAGTATTTAAAAATATATAAAAAATAAACATGTAATTAGTAGAATATAATATTTATACATTATTCTTATGATGAAGCATTTAAAAATATATAAAAAATAAACATGTAACTGATTTGCCTTAAGTTAATTGATTAAACAAAGCAAGATCTTTTGAGGATAACCCAGTTTCTAGTCTGTACTTATATATCCTCACTGTAAAAAGAGTTTAGTTTCATCTTTTTACAAAACAGTCGAACAATGCCAATTCTTGAAAAACTCAAAGGTGTGTTGAGAACTAGTGCTGTTCTATGCATGAGCAAAAAAGTGTGAAATTAGCCACCTTCAATTGGTTAGGGTATCTCTATATACAGTACAACAGAAAGATCAAGGTACAATTCATGGTTAGGGCGATTTTTTCCAGTTTTGCAGATTTCTGCTTTTCTTTGAAGGGCTATACTTGATACTTGATTATATCAATAATATAATTAGTTTCAATATGCAAACCCTATGCAGCAATTTATGTTGATTTAATATAATTTCTCTTATAATTGCACTACACCTATCAAACCTGTATACACATCCTAAAAAAATATTGATGTAGGTAGCACTAATTATTCATGTGTTATTGTTCTTATTAAAATGAAGACATATTATCATGTCATCTTTATCATATTACATCATACATTCACATTATTTTCTAATCTTTACAATGAACTTAATCCCTATCCAGAATACAAAATTTTATTCGACAAAAACTGTTGTATATGCCCATATATAGTCATGATGTGCCTATATATGGTCATGTGATATGATGTCATCATGACTATATTTAGGCATCTCACATGTTTTTGTCAAATAAAATTTGATAGTCTGGACTTGGTTTAAGAATATTGTATGAAAATGCAATGAGCCCTCCTTCAACATTAAAATGTGAAAATAAATCCTAAAATTAAGTAGATTTTGCTTTCAAAGCATACTGTAAACCCACCATTTTTAAAATGTTCTGCACAAAGTCATGATGTAAAACTTTTTAATGTTTTCCACATTTCAATGGATAATTTATTTTGTAAGATGCAAAAATGTATTCCCTTAAAGCCTAAACTTGTTACTCAATTCATCAATAATTGTATACAGCGGCGTTGTCATACTTCACTTCAAAGCCTATACTGTCTAGTTTTTTGTTTCTTATTTTATCATCAGCATGGTTAATAATTATCACCCTAACAGCGCAATTCCAGCTAATTACTGCATAATGTTAGATAAACAGGTTTCAAGTCAAATTCACTGATGCACAGTATAACAGCAGAATATTATTTCATTATATAACTACAGTAAGTGATCACTGGAAAAAGTGCTGTGCACATTCAGCCATTTAGGAACAAATTTTTTTCCACATGGCTAATATATAGTTCAAAATGAAGTATTAGGATTTTATTTTTGTTCAGGGTTATAAAAGCCAAATCAGGGTGGCATGCCTAGAACCACTACTATTTCCACTACTGTTCTGCAGCTGTTTTATACCCAAATCTCATCTCCTACCCTCAGCCCTCTAACACATGCCCCAGACCATTAGCTTTTTGATCTCCTTTACACAATGGCTGATAAAGTCTAAGTCATTTTCTTTTATGTTGTGAATGAAGCTCATATATTCTGGCTTAGATAAGCCGAGCTGATTTTGTGTAGACAAAAACTAATTTAAAATTCATACTAACAATTTTGGTGTAAATTTTAATTGCAAATGTGTTAGCAAATAAGATGCACGTCAATATATTTGCTATTTATGCTTTGTAAATTCAAACAACCCTTGTTTGAATAACGCTCAACACATGTTTGTACTATTAACGTACTCCATGCTCCTACAGTAAACACGCTAATATGCCAGTTGGTTTTTGATTGAAATTATGAATTCACGGTATTGATGCATGACTGCCCGGCAGTAGAATCTATTATATATATTACTTAAATTATATTTCTCTGCTTTTCACTTCTGATGTGAACAGAAAAATGAGAGAGGCACACTAAGAGAATTTGCTACCTCTTAACACTGTCCTTCCTATTATTTATCATCTCACGGTATCGTCTTGGTGATGGAAGGAAGCTAATTCTATCATTCTGAATAATGTATGAGGATATTTTATAGGTGTTGAATTATTCATGACTTGACTTCTCAGGTGTAGAATTATACATGAAATTAGCAGATGTCTCATAAAAACGAAATACAAGCACTACCATAAAAATGATTTTGTATGCATTAATGTACCTCCAATGGATGATAAATGCATTGCTCCTGGCAACGCTGTTAACATAATTGACTGTCAGCTACAAAATACATTAATTACCACTAAATGAGGATAAATAATTAAGTAATTAAGAACATTTTAATTCATCATTAAAATGCTAAAACACCAAACACATCAGAGCATTGGAAAGGTTCTCCAAAGTGTGTGCTGGTTCAATTCCCAAAGAGGCTGATCCAATTCCGTCCCTCACATGATGGATGGAAATCAATAGACCATTGCCTTTCTCTGGCGACAACAACAACAACAGATTGAAACTAAATTAAAACTCTATTTACTATATACACAATACTAATACACATTCTTAATGCGTTATAGTAAAATTCACTTTAAAAAAATAGGGTCATGTTTTTTTTAGGCTTGAAAGATAGACAACAGTATTACTATTCTGTTAATTTTCTATGGTATTTTACCAAATCCTCAAATGTTGTAAGTATTCTCAATAATTTGAAATTACAAAAATTACCAGTTGTACTTTGTAAAGTGAATGAAGCTGGTCATAAATGTGTGAAGGATAGATAAATTTTATGTGGGACAGTTGAAATGTGTAAAACATAAAACTAACTTGGAAAATAATCTTTGACATTTAAAATACAACTGGAGGAAAAAAGAAATGGTTTTTTTTTTGGCTTAGATTTATGACCCCCATTTTATAACGAAAAGAACTGTCATGATAGACGGACGTGAGCAAGGGACATAAAGCACAGAGGTGAAGGACGGACGTGTTTGCCATCGCATTACAGTATATAGACCTACACCATACACATTATTATAAAACATTTTTTACATTTCAAGAATATAATATTAATAAAAGGATGTAATCTAACAAGATAACAAAATATTTATATATTCATAAATTTGAGAGAACTCAGCTGTTAAATAAATTGAAGGATGGACAATAAATTCTAATGAATGCACATTGGTATATTAAAAGCAAACAAATTCAAGTATTTGATTATTCATGACTGAATTTGTTTAAACTTTTGAAGAAATGACATGGTTAAAGATTAAGTAGTCCAATCTTGCTGCTAAGATGTAAATTTAACTATTTACAATGTTGTAATAAAAATATTGGCCAAAAGTAGGTTGCTTTTTGGTTTTCATGCTCACACTTTTAATTTCATCTATGGCTCTGGAGGTTGTGACTCTAATATTGAATCACTCATGATATGCGAGAAGGCAAATTCTAATCTCATTTAACTGTGGATACATTTGTCATATTTGAACATTCGTAGGATTTGTCAAAAGTCCAACTTTTGACAAATCCTACGAATGTTCAAATCTGTAGGATTTGTCAAATGTCTGACTTTGAAAGGGTCTAGAATGATGGAACTACATTAAACTAAAAAAAAAATCTGTCACACACAGTGGTGGATTCAGGGGAGGAACTAGGTCACCTCAGCTCCACCCAAAGGTGGCACTCTCGGACTGAATATAATTTTCTTGTTCCCTCCATTTTTTCAGGCTACTCTTTGAATCCGCCTATAAATGCCTAACTTATCTTGAGACCACAGTCTCCAATTCATGGTGGGAGAGCTGAGGAACTATTTCTCAGTTGAAAACAGTGCGACTCCTTCACCCAGAGAACACCTGTACCTTAACAGCTGGGGGATGCTGCCCAGACCTGAATTATTATTACTTACTGTATATCTTCTCTGTATATATATTTTGATGATCAAATAAATTAAATGAAATATAATAAATAAAATTCAGCTAGACTTGCCATAATTTGGTTTGGGAGGGGGGGGGGAGGCAGAGTGCATTCAATCCAACAATAAAGAAAATCCCATCCAGGTTTCAAATTTAAAACACCTTCGCTATACCCCCTCTGTAAGTAATGTTGAATAAGAATATCATCTATCATTGAAATTGCTGGTATATTTTCAATTTTCAATATGTAATAGTAAGGTTTCATTGTGAACTTTTCACATTTAAAACTAATAATATTACTACAACGAACAATAACATCAAACATTAACTACCTCTATTTTATGATAACATGTTAACCAAGCCTTCATAACAAAAATGATGATAACACAATGACACCACTAATGATGATATTCATGTATTTACATAACACTGAACACATCGGTAACCAAATGAAAGATAACACGTTGACACTACCATAAATGATGACAGCACATTAGCTACTACCAAACGCATTTGCATCAAAGGAGGTATATTACCTGGCAAATTATGAAAACTCATTAACTACCACTCAGACACTGTATCTCTTTTGATGGATTTTTCAGTCAATGTTGCTATAGCTGTACAGTACTTGCATTATACTTAATTCAATGTACCAGAGCTATGCATCTTGCTGCTGATGTCTACTAAATCATTGCCTGCCATTTGCAATGCAATGGGCTTTTATTCTACTAAATTCACTACTTTTTCATTGATTTTTGTTTCTAATCCGATTTTAATGCCATTTATCTGTATTAGTTTCTTTGCAAGCTTGTGTTCTCAAATGCATACTGCATTTTTCTTACTCATTAAGTGAATAAGTAGGCCCACCTCTTGCTACAGTAACTTTTTGAAACACCACTCTTAGGTTATGGATGATTTGACTCCAATTGGGTGAAGTGGTCTAGAAATATAGTTGTCAATGGCAGTTGATAGAGAGGTAGGCCACAAAACAAATGGAATAAGGTTTGGAAGGTAATTTTAAAGTGCG